AGAAGAGAGTGTTTGTAGTGATGATGATGATGATGATGAAGAGAGTGTTTGTAGTGATGATGATGATGAAGAGAGTGTTTGTAGTGATGATGATGATGAAGAGAGTGTTTGTAGTGATGATGATGATGAAGAGAGTGTTTGTAGTGATGATGATGATGAAGAGAGTGTTTGTAGTGATGATGATGATGAAGAGAGTGTTTGTAGTGATGATGATGATGAAGAGAGTGTTTGTAGTGATGATGATGATGAAGAGAGTGTTTGTAGTGATGATGATGATGAAGAGAGTGTTTGTAGTGATGATGATGATGAAGAGAGTGTTTGTAGTGATGATGATGATGAAGAGAGTGTTTGTAGTGATGATGATGATGAAGAGTGTTTGTAGTGATGATGATGATGAAGAGTGTTTGTAGTGATGATGATGATGAAGAGTGTTTGTAGTGATGATGATGATGAAGAGTGTTTGTAGTGATGTAGATTCACGAGGGAACTGACTGAATCATGACGAATGGAGGAATGCGCATTGGCTGAGTAATTAAGTAATGCACTGCTGCCTATTAATGCTGTGGACGCAATCGGAGCATAAGTCAAACCGAGACTGTTACGGTAGGATACAGCAGTTACTATAAACACTGCATTTACTGCCCACTCATTAACGCTGACTGTGGAAAACTGCTACTGAAAACGGCTGGTGGTCTCATTAAATTGCATGAACGCTAAAATCGTGGATAGACAGGGTTTGTAATAGTAAGCTTAGCTGATGTGGGTAAGTTATGTCATGTTTAATCCTGCGCAAGAGCCTCCCCCATAACCCTTAAGATGCTTACCAGCGGAATTCCAGTCCATCCTTCCGAGTGACCAGCTAAATGTTCCTGTATTTCCCTAAATACCACGCGGTACTTCAGGATTCAGCAGAAAATCGTACGACACTGGCTCAGCATTACGCACTCGAAAGGGTTGGCTGGAGTGACAGCATACCAGCACAGAGTCCTGCTCGGATATTTGCGCTTTTCTCAAGTCGGGATTTAAGGAACCGCCTCCCAAGCGGTCGCCATAGCAACGCGGATCGTTCTCTCTCTCTCTCTCTCTCTCGCGCGCTCTCTGTCTTTGGCTTGCTGTAGAAGTCATGACTAATGCACTATGAATAGAAGCAGAATCCATGTGAAATGCTCACTTTATTCTCAAATAAATCATATCGGATTAAAAACAAAACAAAACAAACAAACAACCCCCTAGAATAAGAAAACATTGTTACAGTAAGCATGGACATCAAGGGTTTGGTCACCAATCAGCTGACTACATACGTTACCACGGTGTTATGGCAGTCCCAAACCTACAGTTGTGTGGTGTCATGAGCAAAGTGATTAGAAACAGTCCTTGAATCTTCCATTAATATCATTATCATCATCATCAAGTATGAGTGATATAGCCAAACTAAATTCCAAATGGAGTTGATGACTCTAAAAATTCACCTCATGTCAGTGATTCATACAGTACATTGAGTATTTATAGTACAGAGCAAAAGAGTTCACATCCATCAAACATGGCCTATTATATACAGCTTAAATAAGTGATGCTTGAAAAGTTGGCTACTCAAGAACATTTGTGTGTTGGTACCGAACACTATTCACTCATTTGCATCCACAGGAATACAAAGCAATGCAAATGTTGATTGGCATTTTGATCTCAGCAATACTTTAGTATGGCAAAAAAATGGGTTTAAATAAGAAACAACATGGCATATTGAGAAATAGATCAAGATAGGGTATGCATTTCATCAAATCAACTAAATAAAAACAACAACAATATAACTGGTGTTGAGAATTATCATCCATTCTTGCAACACGTGCTCTCACATTTCAGTGATTTTTTCTTTTAGGGAAATTCATCATCTAATATGTAAATCTTGCTAATCTGTCATTAGTAGCTGTAAAATATTCAGTAGTTGTCTTTTTATCACTACGTTTCAAAGTGACAGTTTGCTTTTTTTTTTTTTTGGTTTCTGGTGTTTAGATGTTGTGCCAAAGAAAAGATTTGGGATTTTTCAGGGTCTGAAGGAAGTCAGGTTATTATATTGGATCGAGGCATGTTGTTTATGTTTGAGATGTCCAGCTGGTGAAGGATCACTTGGTTACATTTGATCACAGTTTTCACTTTGATGAAGAGAACTGCTCAGAGGTGGTCCTCACTGCAGGACTGCTGATGCATCACATGCATATCCCCTCACTGGCTCCGTTTTGCTTTTCTTTTCTCCCTTTCGTCTGTATACGCCTCTCTCTCCCTTGAACTTGCTTGGTGGGTGTTAAGAGAAGAAAACTGAGGTGTGTGTTTGCAGTAAGATATTGACGCTTACAACAACAGCTGCCAGAAGAAGCAGGGGTTGAAGGTCAGTACTCATACTGGTGACTGTTAAGAAATAGAAAAAAGGAGAGATTCATGAGAACGGTGGGTCAAGGAGTTTAAAATTTGTGTTGCGTGTAACGGGACGTCATAGTGAAGTCATGAAGAATGCACATGACTCACTTTGGTTTAGAGTTACAGAGGACCAGGACATCAACAGATGCTGCTGCTGACATTTAATATGCAGAGGATATATTTGTGTGAGTGTAGTGTACAAGAGTGTGTGATGATGACACTACAGTTATAATAAATGGAAAATGTGAAAAATTTATAAATGGACATACAGCAGTATAATGACAAACCTCCGGTAAAGAAAAATTAATAAACTTACAAAAGTCAGTTCTGATTCTGAGTGGATCTACAACTTCAAATTACATATTATCAAGTACGTTTAAGTAATTTTCGTTTTTTATGCATGAAATGTTTTTAAGGCAAAATTATATTGCTTTCAAATATTATATTATGTAGAATAAAAGCAAGGAAAGTAAAGTTCAAGAAGAGCAGCACTATTAAAAAAATTAGTGGCTGTGTCTGAAATCACCCCCTATACCGTAATATAGTGCGCTATTTGAGGGAACAGCCATTTGTAGTGGTTTTATTGAATGCATTCACTAAATCCCACAATGTACTTCAATAATAAGCGTACAGCCAATGTACAATGAATGGCTAGCCGCTAGAGAATACCCATTTACTGTGAGCGTCAAGTCAAATTAATTCCTGTGTCTCACCAGAAGATGGCATCTGCAGAACTTCTGGTGCATTCAGTGTCCAAATTTACTCACTCATTTTCATTCACCTTTTTAGTGGACTATATTAGTGGAGTAATGTAGCAGGGTATTTTGGATATAACCAGTGATTCCTAGGGGAAGGGCTCTGATGACATTCCATAGTTGGCTGTTTTTTGTAGTAGGCATAACTCGTACTACTGCGGGCCACAGTCAGATACACTTGGTTAACAGAGTGTTGCAGGCAAAACCTGCCGAGTTAGCATTTTAGCACTTCTGGTTTTAACGTCCTAAATTCAATGGGTTTTTTACTTTTAGTTTTTGCTTCTACAACTTTTGGGTTGGCTTACAAAAATACATAGGCACTCCACTACTCCATTTTCTTTAGTGGAGAAACATTTTAAAAGTAACTGGCAATATTGTGTTTAAAATGCAAGTTTAATTTAAGTTGCTTTTTTTTTTTTTACTGTTGCATAAAAGTCACCCATGCAGTAGTACTGTGTTCCAAGAGTGCTAATAATTACAAGGCGCTGGGATATTTTACTCTTTGTAGCATGCCACTTTAGGCAATGTTCACCTATTAAAAATTTGAAAACAGCACATGTGTGTGTGTATTCGCAGTTTACCTCGGCAGCTCTTCCCATCTCTTTGCAGCATTCCTGTCACACAGCTGCACACAGCGCCTGTTACTTGACTTGTGCAGATCTGCTCACAGCCACCATTATCCTCTTCACACCAGTCTGAATCTAAAACACACATACACACACACGGTTATAGCTGTAATCACCTTGCTAATATGCACATACACAAAACACCCAATTATACATCCACATCCTATTGCCTCCACTATTAAACTACACACACATTCCTCACTCGCTCTCTCTCTCTCTCTCTCTCACATACACGGGTCATGCATTCATGCATAAATCTAAAATATACTCCATACCTCTTTTTCTGATTGGTCCCACTGATAGGATCTGTTCTTTATGCTGACTGTAATCTGTATAACTTCGTTTGTTATGAGGGCAATTCTGTAAAAGCAAAAAGCCATTCTGAATCCAAAAGAAGCACTTATCCAAGATGATTGATGGAGAGATGAACAAGATGCAAAAACATCACCAAATTCACACTAAATCATGTTTGTATTTGTCAGATCAAGCCATGTTTTAGTGGCACATTATGCACCAACCCCCTTTACCATTGTCTCTATTGTTGTAAATGGCAAAACAGCTAAAAATAAAATAAAAAGGTGTTTGTCGATGTGTGTGTGTATACAAGCTCTCACCACTTTGCAGGTGTTGGTCTCTGAGTCACAAAGAGAGACGTCACAATGCAAATGCACCTCATCATAATCACCAATGAACTTAAAGACAGTGACGTGGAAGCGGCAGGTGAGGGACACGCCATTCTCAGCCATGCCTATAGTGTTATCCTTGATGTTAGGACACCTGGAATTACAGTCATGCGAGAGCTGTAAACTCATTGGTATGTATTTGGTTGTGTAGTCCTCTTCTGAACTTTGTGCAGTATTTGAATATGTTATTATGTTACATATGTATTGAAATATGTGTATGGCTCTTTTCATGAGCTATTTGCTTACCCTCTCTCTATGATAATGTAACGAAGGCGATCGCTGCTGTAACGAGATGGTGTAGCCCAGCACATGTTCACAATGAGAATAAGCTGTTTATTATCTGCTCCTTCCACAAACACCCCCACAAACAGAATGTCCCTGGTGCTCAGCACCACTTCTCCCTCACGGTATGGATGTCGGTATGAGGCATTCTTGTAAAGGGCCATTTTTGTGATGAAGTTGCCCTCTTGGGTCGGTAGAGTGAGGTTTATTACACTGTGGACAATAGAAAAAGGGAGTTTTTATCTTTATCATATTATGTTATCTATATCGTGCTTGTCATTTATGATAATAAATGTGGTTGTTCCATGATACACAAATAACATGGTAATACAGTGGTAGTGTTTTTTTTTTTTTGTGAGGTGTGAATGTCTGACCTGAGCATTGGCTTCAATACTGTCTCCAGGGAGATCTTGATGTCCAGTTCATAAGCACAAGAAAACTCCACATTGATGGTCTTATCACGTGTCACTACATTCCCTGTGTTGTTCACACTCTCGATCCACACCGTGTTCTTGTACATAATGTGTGTTCCATTCGACTAGACTCACAAATACACACACATGAACACACACATAAAGTTACTGTGAATTTAATTACCTTTCCACAGAAAACAACATATTCAGCCAAGCAGACAGCACATCAAGTATGCACACAATGAAAATTAGATTATGAAAAGCAAAAACACAATGAGAATAGTATCTTCTGCTGTAAATCTGAAAGTCATGAATAGTTGCAAAAGATCTCTCTTGAAAACACATTTGGAAAGCAGTTTCAAAATGTATTGTGTACCAACCTGAGTAATTTAGAACTAAATCAGCAAACATTTAATAATCTTATACAGTGAACCAGAAAGACTATTTTGTCCTCAAAAAATGTTGTAATATTTATCAAACCATAAGACTAACTTCAGCTCATTAGTATTGAATTATGGATGGTTTAATGAAAAAACATATTTTGAATGTTTAACTCCAAAAACTCTATCAGAGCTCTACGGTTATATCTAAACCAAAATCAAGAAGACAAGAACTCCTGCTTAAATAGCTTTTTGGAACACACTTTCTAGGTGGTCGTTCATGCACGACAGCTCTCTTCACATGACCCACGCAAGAGACTCGTTGTAACGTTATTTTTAATTTTTAATAGTATTTTCGTTGGTTCCGTCCGCCACATTGGAAGAAAGCTCTTTGCTGAACTCATCGCAAGACAGCAAAAGATCTGCATGAAAATGCCTCAATTTTCAGAGGAAAAGAGGTTTCTCAGAAGGTAAAATTATTCCCCAAATTAAAGTGTGCATTAAGAATGCTTTCTGACCCGGCATAGACAGCAAGTGAACTACCACGTTCAAGGAAATAGAAATTTAGCTATTGTTATTCAACAGCACATATTTGGATGTGGTGGACCTCAAGACAGGGTTTGGGTATAAATCGGTGGAGAACTATGATAAACCGCTGTCTGAATGAGGACTGGCACTCGCACCCAGAAAGGTAGTGAGGACATTGTTAAAATAGTCCATGTGACATCTGTGGTTCAACCTTATGAAGCTACGAGAATACTTTTTGTGCAAAAAGAAAACAAAAATAACATTCATGTTAGTACCACAACGCATGCGTGTGCATTCCTCTACTTGTAAATGCCAGCTCCTGTGTCAGCAGCACCACACGCAAGCATCGTGGAACTCTCGTGAATGGTGGCGAAGACTGACACGACAGAGAAGAACTGTTGAAAAAAGTCATTATTTTTGTTTTCTTTGCACACAAAAAGCATTCTTATAGCTTCATAAAATTAAAGTTGAACCACAGATGTCAACCACAGAATTCTCATTTTTGGGTGAACTATCCCTTTAAGCTGTCCTAGCTGGTCTAAGCTATTGCTCAAGTGTCTTTTCTCTATACAAATGTGCACCAAACCTGAACTTCTTTGCTTGTATTCGCATATATGTAAATGGATGTGAATGGAACAGTTCATTTTCTTTACCAGGACCAGTACTTTCCACTCTCTCGAGAGGCAGAGCTCTTAGTGTCTAAACTGAGACAGTCTGATCCTGAACAATTGTTAATTAGGGAAAAGAGGGATTTGTTCACCTGTACAATAGAGCCACAATGTCCCTTGGTATTGTTTATATGGAACGAGATGAAATCCTCTCCCTCGATACCAGCACAGTGCTGGTCGTTAATTCGTACGTCCTCTCTCTCAAAGCCCAACTGGAACAAACGGCACTTAGAGATAGAAACCTCCATCTGAGCGTGTTTACAGGTCACCTCTGCCTGGATGATGTCATCCTCACCTACACCACAAAAACAAGATGTTCTGTATTATCTTTTCTCAATATTTCATACCAATTCATAATGTGACCTTTTAATTTAGCAGTTAGCCTGCTGCTATAACATAAAAAGTAACTAGTGCAGGATAATGTGACTGGGTTTACTACTTTTAAGTATGAGCAATAATGATAAAAACAACTTCAAAGAGACCCTACAAAGGATTTATATTTATTTGGATTTATATATTTGTTTCACTCACTAATGTCAGTGCTGGGTAGCTCAGGGCAGCCACACAAATCTCCTCCATTCTCCTGCTCACACGTGTTGTTAGAGCAGATCTCTCCTGCACAGGGGTCATAGATCCATTCTGCTAAAGACAGGTCCAGTTACAAAGTTAGCACAGAAAGTTTCTAATAAAATATTTCAGTTTTGTCAAAATTGTGAAAGTGACTTGTGATAATCTTGGAAGCATGGACAAATAATAATAAGACAAATAATACATATAAAATGTACTTCTAAAAATGACAATTGAGCAGTGCTGCCTTTCACTTTCTACACTTCTCCATCTTATCCTGTAGGTGGCAGCGTCCTCTTACAGCAGTTCTCCTGGGCGATCCACTTGGTGGTAAGTGTGCCGAAAGAGCGGCAGGCCTCAGCGTAGGCTGCCATGGAGCCGCACACCTGGGCCTTACGGTGGTTGTAGCAGCCGTCCATGTAGCAGGACTGGTAGAAGGGGTGAGGGTCCAGTAGGCCGTGGCAGGGCTGGAAGAAACCTTTAAAATCTGTGAGCTTTAGACAGTTTTCTTCTCCCTGGAGCTCTGATACTGCTGTATTATCACAGGATTGAGCCAGGGCCACATACTGCGTCTCATCACAACTACAGGCAAGAGTCAGGCAATGGAGGATAGAAAATGAGTGGCAATGTAATAAGTACAGGGTGAAACTAATTAGATGAGTGATAAATATAACGGCACACTTTTTCTTGCTAACCTGTTCTGCATGCCATTGGTTTTCCAACTCTGAGCGAGCTCCAGTGCACTGACGGCAGGTTTTCCACGAGAGGTGATATAATCATCAGTGGGGTCCCCATTGAAGTTCCCACACAGTCCACACACCTTGTTCTGCAGCCGTGGGCCCATTGTAATGCTGAGGATGTTGAATCTGTTATAACGCACCTGGATGTCCTGGGGAGTGTCGATCACCAGGAATCCCTCTGATGTGGATACTCGTGTCATTAGACCTGTGACAAAAGGTACGGACACGGGCGTACCATTTACCTGAGGTAAAAGAGGAAAACACTTAGCATTTAGCTAGGAGACATTTAATGTCTTAATCATTATAGAGTAATTTCATAGTCAACATATAAAAAGCAATCGCAAAATCCATCCTCTAAAGCAGGATTTCTCAACTCTGGATCCAATCTCCATTTTCCTGTAGACTGTGGCTCCAACTCTAATCAAACTCAACTGCTTATCACATTTTAGTAATCCTGAAGACCTTTATTAGCTTGTTCAGATGTGTTTGATTAGGGTTGGAGCTCAACTCTGCAGGACAGTGGACCTCGAGGGCTTGAGAGGTTGAGACACTCTGCTCTAAATTTTCATTTTGAAATACCTGTTTCTCCTTTAAATTCTCCTAGGAAATTCAAGACCACTTCACCTGAGTGATGTCCTGTCCCATACATAATTTGCAGTACAAATTCGTTGTTCCTACCTTGACTGTGTTTCCGGAGATGAGAATGTTCTCCTCGTTGATGTAGAGGTAAGCATGGGAGATGGTGGTTAGGTTGGGTGTACTCCACTTGTCAAAATTGGCAATGAGTTGAAAAGATAACTCAGGCAGCTTGTGACAGATCGTTGAAAGAACAAAGGAGCATGAGGCAGGTAAACGAAGAGAGGCACCATCAAAAGTACGGAAGACGCCGCCACCCGATGCTACACAGTGCTGATTACGTCGGGCAAAGCATCCTCGCACACCATGACGTAGAACACATTCCTCCTCTGCTTTGCATCGCCTTGGGTCACACTGAATCAGATTCCGTCCAATACACTGACAGCGTTTAGTGCAGTCACTGTTCCAGAACAACTGCTTAGGCTGAGAAAATAGAGTGAAAACAACAACAACAACATATTTGCGTTTCAAGAAAAGGCAGAAGAGGAATGCTAGCTCTACATTTTCTGGAAAACATGAGTACTTTTATCACTCTTAACTTTTATGGAGTAAAACAATTAAAATTTAATAATATCTTATTTATTATTTCATAATACAAAATAATACATTTTATGACATTTTTGCTTAAACATGAAAAAAAATGCAGATGTAACAAGACAAAATATATTAACAAGTTTTTACTAGTTAAACAGATTGGATACAGAGACTCATTAAGAAAAGTGTGGCAATGAAATAAAACACTTTTATTGCCAATAATAGGTATTGTATTGTATACTGCACGGTTTTAATAGATGTTTATTGTATTTGATGTATTGTCTAGTTTCGTGACATGCTGTCTTACCTCATAGTATTTACCATCCGTGTAGCATCCACAGTTCTGACTGAGGATACAACTCTTGCCATTGAGCACAAAGCCTAGGTCACACTGGCACCCCTCAACACAGTACTGGTTACAGTCTCTCTGTCCACGTGCAGGGGCACATTGCGGCTGGCACACCATCATACAGCTGGAATAGTGGCTGTTCACAGGGCACGACAGGACTGGACACACATAGAGTTCACTGGATGGGTGAGTTTCTCCAGAAGTAAAGAGGATGTATTGCATTTCACTTTAAAGGGCTTATATAAATGTGTGGCATTCACGGGGCTTTGATTGTGATAAAGTGTCTTGTAGTTTTTATGTTGGCAAAACAGAATATTTGTAAATTAAGACATGGCTTGTGGTTAGCCAGCGTAACACCAAGCATTAAGGGGTTTTGGAATAGCGTTTTCATGTAAGCCCTAGAAGTGCAAACAATATTTGCATTTAAATGCATAAAAATGACAATACTTTTCATAGCAGCCTCATAAATCTTTCAAATCTTTAATTTCCTGAAGAAAATTGCTAGGGTATTTTGGCTGTTAACTGGTCCAAATCAAAAGAACCCACCCTCAAGTGTCTATGATATTCTAGTTTCTAAAAGTGGGTCCAGCTCCTCCTTCATTGTAAGTCTATGTTTTGTTTTGTTTTGTCATCCACCAGGTGAAAATCTGATCCCTTAGAAAATAAACAGCACATCTCTCCTTATTAAGACACACGTTTTACTGTAGAACAAACCCCTAACCTCAAGTATGAGGAAATAAAATTGCAATACTTGCTTTAGAAAGTACCATTAATTTTTATGCATAAGACTGTGACATGAGTAAATGAACATAAATTAAAATATCTCTCACCACAGGGTGTGGAACTTCTCCAGCCAATGACAGACACTCCTTGTGTCTGACAGGTATTGGCATAAATCTGTAGCCAATTACAGATGGTCTCTCTCGCACCTTGATCCACACATGTATCCTGCAGACAGCTCTGGTAGAAGTATGCTGGTGCCACTTTGCTGTGACAGCGCGCAAACACACCTCCACGGTCTATTATAAATCCACATAATCTCACCGCCTCAGGTTCGACATACACATACAACCCTTCAGCAAGGTGGAAACGGTTTCCTGGGTTACCCTCATCCATGTCAATGTTACCAACAGCATCTGTTACTTGGGCGGGGACCTCAGCAGCTAGGCCCCTCTCAGCCAATCCACAGCGAGGGCAAGAGTCCCCGCAACCAACTTGGCAGAAGGTGTCACGTTCTGCCCATGCCATGCCCCATTCTGTGACACTTAGAGTGGGACCAGTAATAGGCATTCCTTGGCAGAGCCCACAGGTGGTGTTAAAGAGACTGCGAGGAAGAGTCAGAAGCAGTAGAGTATTCCAGTCAAAAGCCACCTGTAGAGATATTAACTGTGTATTAGCTTACACAGTGGATAATGTTGTAATCTGAGGAGTTTTGCTTTTTTTTCCCCCGTGTACAGTATGTTGCAATATGTATTTTGATCTGTACTCCACCTTCAGACCAAAGTCTGTCTCCACAAGTAACTGCAGACCAAGGGCGTAGATGTTAACTTTCCCTGGACCGAGTTTTATAGGCAGATACAGGCGCTCTTTATTCACCTAAAAGAGATTAAAAAAAATATTGACATTTGTTTCAATAATAGCAATCAAATCTGTTTGGTACATAATACGTCTCATCTCCTGGCTTTGCTTCTTATATCATCTCATTTGATCAATCTGTTGTTCATTGTCTATCATTACTCTCTATACTTCTATCTATACAAAAGCCAGTTTCATTATGATTCACTCTGTCTCTCAATTTCTAACTTGGTTTTCTTCTCCCCTCAATCTTTATTTGATCTAAAGTTCCTCAGATCTTCCAGTAGTGTTGTGAACTCATTCCAGACGTCACTCAGTTATAAGTTTCCCTCTGTATCTGGTGCAGTATGCTAACAGATGCTGGCTGAAATATTATACCCCTCACCTGAAAAAATTTACTCCTTTGTTTAGCTCTTCTCTCTGGGCTGATTAAAACAACTTTGTATCATACAAATGAGGAGTTTGACCTTCAAAAGGTGGAGTTCTAGAATTACAGAGGAATTCTTGTGATTATAAAATGTCTGCCACTCGTGCAAATGGCCAAAAAGTGTATCAGTAGCTGTCTGTTTCAGGTGCAGGTATAGAATTTTGTATTGATCCAAATCAGCTTTGGCTGCTGGATCACGTTTGTACATGCAAATATGAACAAGCTATTTGTGGCACTCTAATTGATTTAAGTTGCATGCTAATTACAATTCTTGAACATGTCCCTGTTTAAAACAAAGCTAAAAAAAACATAAGATTCACATTAGTCATAATCAACACATACAACACATAGCTCAGGACAATCTTACCGTGACTGTGTGTTTGAAACTTTGTGACACCTCAATTTCATATCCATAGACCTCCAGAACAAATCCCCGCACCCATATAGCCTGGCCTGTGTCTCGCTCTTCATTCCGAGCTGAAAACTGGAACCTGGCCAGTCCTCCCAGAACTGTCTCTGCACTCTCTAGTCCCCCAAAGCCATCCTCGTCCCCCTCTCCACACTCAGTAGTGGCCAGACGGAGAGTACAGCTGCTCTGGAGGTCAAATGGTACACCTCCAAATGGCAAAAAGTGTCCATAACCAGCAACAACACACATGGCCTCTGTCCTTGGCTGACAGAAAAACAGGCCTTCATTCTCCTGGCAGTACTCCGCTGGGTGACAGGGGGAGAAGGTGCAGTAGACACTGTTGTCTGTGCCGTTGCAGTAGCAGCGCTCCTGGCACTCCCAGTCTGTCCAGAATGTCTCATTGGTGGCTAGCTGCCGGCCCAGGTAGAAGCAGCCACAATCGCTAAGTGCCACACAGATGCCATCACGGAGGGCAAATCCCTCTTCACACTGGCAGCCCTCGGAGCAGGGTAGAGGGCATGGCTCCTCAGGATCATCCAGGTTAGAGCAAGTGAGAGGGCATGCAGATGTACACTCATCGAAATGACTGTTTTCTGGACAGGGTAGAGCTAAAGAAACAAAGAAAAAGGAAATTATGTGAAAGGGATAGAAGGTGCTGAAAATGATAAAAGAGAGAAACAACCAACACTCTTACGGCAGTTGGTAGCACTCCTCCAGGCTCCCAAGATGATCTGAGCATCCTGGCAAGCTGAAGCATATGCCTGGAGGGAGTTACACAGGGCAGAACGGTTTCCTTCCCGCACACACATGTTGTAGAGGCAGTTCCTGAAGAAAGGAGAGGGATTAACAGCTGTGTGGCAAGCCAGGAACGAGCCGTTTCCTAGGTCATTGATGTTTCCACACAGCCATGGGCTCTGGTACAGCCTTAAATCTGTACACATACGATACAAGTCCTCACAATCGCCATTGCATGTCAGATCATCCGCAATGGCTTTCCAGCCTTCAATAAACTGTTCGGGTGTATCGGCCTGCCTTCCGCTAGGTAGACGGAGGTCATCAATTGGATCTCCATTGAAGAAACCACAAAGACCACAGGTGGTGTTGTAAAAGAGAGTGGAGAGAGTGATGTTTAGCAGGCCCTGACGTGAGTATCGAGTGCGGACTAAACCACTCCACTCAATCACCGTGATATTGCCAGAGGACCGGTATATTATTAAAGGCTCCACTGGATGGACATAAGGAAGAAACGCTGGTTCACCGTTGACCTGGGTGGGGAGAAGAATTACGACATCATCAGCATGTCATACAATCAGCTAACTTGGTCTGAACAATATGTGAGAATATATTGAGGAACAATCAAAGCTACTGTACAAGTAATGATATTGCTATAGTGAGGTGTCCCAAGAAGGTATCTTTTTAAAAGCATCTTTTAGTTTCACAGACTTGGGAACTGACAATTTTTTTTTGCAGAGTAGAGGATATAAAAGTCACCACAAACCTTTATCAAGTCAAAATCTGAGCCACCTATCTGTGCTTCCAAATGTCCCACCCTAACGACCACTGGCCGTAGCCATGTAGGGCCCTTATTCACCAGCTTCCTGCCAATCTTCACCTCCACTGATGTAACATTTGCAGGCAAGCGTCCCAAAGTCTTCACCAAGTAGAATGAGCTTTCATCAGGGAACGGCATTGTGGACCCATCAAACGTAGCCAGTATTTGAGTCTGAGACAGCAAACAGGCTGCTTCGCGACGAGGGTAACATCCCAACAACCCAACTTCTGCTACACACACCTCGCCTTCACCACAAGAGTCATTGAAGCATGTTACTTCACCTGCCGGGCCACACACACAGCGCTGGGAGCATTCTTCACCCACCTCACCTCCTTCCCCTGCCCAGAAGGTCTCATTTAGGGCATAGTACAGGCCATCACGCTCACATCCACACTCAGAGCGACGGACGCAGCGGCTACCACTCAGCACATAGCCCTGGTCACACTGGCAGCCCTCAGTGCATGGATGGGTACAGTAGAGGTGAGACGTCAGGTCGGAGCAGGAGGCAGGACATGCACTCGTGCAGATTTGGTAGTGGCTGTTCTCAGGGCATGTCAATGCTAAGAGCCAATGGCAAATGGAAAAATGCAAGGTCAGTGGAAAAGAGAACATAGAAAGAACATACTGATGATAGAAAGTGAGAAAAGTATTTAACAATGTATACTTGATTTAACCTCTAAAAGAACTCTCTACGATGGCTGGACTTTATTGACACAGAATTAACCTTAATGTCACACCTGATATCACTCACCACAGAATGAGCGTGATCTCCAGGGTCGTATAGTGACTCCCAAGGCCTGGCATGCAAGTGCATATGCCTGTATAGCCTGGCACAGGGTGGTGATGTTATCACGATTGCTGCACATATCATAAACACAGCTGTACACAAATACTGTGGGGTCTACCACAGCTCTGCAGTCTCTGAAAGGCCCATCAGTCTTATTGATCAGCCCGCAGTAGTCTGAGCGAAAGTAGAACACTTCAGCTGCCGGTTCACACATGCTACAGTTCTGGGCACAGCCATCTGTACAACGAAAATCTGTGTCCTCAGCTCGCCAGCTACCACCCAGTTCCACTACGCTCTCTGCCAAAGAGCCATCTGGCAACACGGGATCATCGGCGGGGTCATCGTTGTAGTTACCACACAGACCACAAGTGTTGTTGAAATAAGAGCTGGGGAGGGAGATGGAGGCGTAGTGCAATCCGTCATAGGTCACCAAAAGACCAAAGTCTGTTTCCAAAGCGACAGCAACGCCAGATTGGTATACCTTGACTGCGCCTAGTTGAAGTTGAACAGGGAGAGTCTTTATCAGGCCATCCACCTGTAACAACAGAAACACAAAGTGAAAGAGAAAGGTTATATTGCCTGTGTCCTGCAAGAACAATTTAATCTACTAGGCTGCTATTCATACTGATTGCACAGTTGGTCAATTTAGTAGGAGTAACAGCTTCATATTTAAAGGACTGAAACTTGACGAAAGCTGACCTGCACAGTTCCCAGAGTCCCTTTGGGTAGTGTGACACGGTGGTTGTACACCTCCACTGTGACATCCCGTAGCCAGGACACAGTGGTCACACCACGGTTCTCATTCTTGGCCTCCACACTGAAGAAGGGCAAACCAGGCATTTCCCAGCATGGACGAGCCAACAGGTATGAGCAAGTACCCTGGATGGGAGATCAAGGCAATCACATAGTTTTAGCCTACAGTTCTATACAGAGCAAAAAAACAAAAAAACAAAAAAGTGATCAGCATGATACTCAGCTTTGTGGTAGGATTACCTTATATGAGCTTTTGCTTCTAGCATAATCTCTGATAATGGATATCTTATGAACTGAATGTGTGTAATATGATGATCCTTATATTTTTTATGTTTCTTTGGAAACTTCAGACTTTACTATTTCCAGAAGCATCATGCACATTCAGTGAGCCAAGTGCACTTTGAATGCAACTTTCAGGGGAGAAAAAGTCACCCGTTCACACATTATTATTGGAGTTAGTCAGGATTTTTTTTCATTTCCTGTTTTATGGAAATGGGATTTTAACCCTATACTGTACCTGGAAATGATATAGAAATCCATCAAAAGTGTGGTAGTGGGGGTCTCCAAACACCACACAGGTGCTGGTACGGGTAGGCTGGCAGTAGTAAGCCCCCTCCACCTGTTCACAGGTCTCTAACTGACCACATGGAGTTTCTTGGCAGATGACCTCATTATTCAGATCAAGACATCTACATCGCTGAGTGCATTGGTCTGATAACCAAAAAACCTCCCCACGACGGTAAAACCGCCCTGAAAAAAAAGATTGCAGAGACACCGAAAAAGAAGAGAGAGTAAGATAAGGCATGAGGGGAACATGTTGAGTAAAAAGTGTACATGGTGTACATAAAAAACAAGGAGCACACATTTAAGATATAAGTAAAATATTAATTTAATGTATCAAATACCATGAAAACATGATATAATTATATAGTTTTTTTTTTACCATTGTAGCTGCAGCCATTTGCTGGGTCTATCTGGTCGGCATCAATGCGGAAGAACCACCGTCCAGGCACGTTAACATTAGTGGTCTGTTCAATGTTGACCACTTCGTTCGAGCGTGATCCGGGAAGGTTCAAGAAATGGCTGACATCTCCACCATTAAAACCTGCCTAGAGAGGGTAATCATAGCAGAGAATGATAAAGAGTTATATCACATATATACAACAGTTATATCACAAGGTGAGATTTCTGAGATTACCTGTGCTGTGGTTCCTCCCAGGCCCGTAAGAGGGTCTCCTCCACTAGCCGTGCCTGTGCTCCAGTTGATCTCTCCATAGTTAAACATAGCAAAATAAGCTTGGCCATCGGAGATCAAAACTGCCTGAAATGTATTTACCTGAAAAGAATGGAAAGAAAAAAAAAGAATGATTACTCTCTTTTGTGTTGGTGGTAGTGATTATTGTGGTGATCACACAGTACATGCTGCTCATTAGCGCAGTTTTGATATTGGTCATGCAAATTAAACTCTTTTTGCCTCACCGGCGTTGTCTGGCTGCCTCCATAAAAGGTGACCTGATTCCAGGTAGCAATGAAGACCCAGGTGGCAGTGAAGGACACCATATTCTTCAAATACTTTCTGACATCCTGAGTGACCCTCTCCAGGATCTCTGGGTCTGTTGTCTCACGGTAGTACACATCCCCACGGATACCATTATGCACGTCAGCCCATAAAGGGGCAATGAAGGAACGGCTGTCACTGAGGGGAAAAGCCTCTGGAGTGAATTGACTCACCTGAATGTTGAAGGAGATCACTCCATTGTTGTTGACCTATTGGGAAATATAGGATGATGTGCTGTTACACAATTCACTGCTGAATTGAACACTTAAGACGTTGCATGGAGATTTTGGGGTGATTTTTCTCACAGTTCTCGTCCATATTTTGGATACTTACATAAAGGGATCTAGAGGGCACATTGAAGAATATGAATGGAATTAGTAGTTGAATCTCTGGAGAACTGCCATCATCCATCTTAGGGGTTTCTAAATCCCTATGAGCGGGTCCAAAGGGGTAGAGGGTATCCTGAGAAAAAGCTAAGCAGAGGAAAAGTAAATGTTGACAAAGCAAAAACGCATTGATCAGTTGGCCCTGTGAGGGTGTTTTGGACAGATCAGGGGCATAGACCAAAACCAGCAAAGCTGATGGTAAAATGTGAGATCTATTAGAATTCTATCAAGAAATTGAAAGTCGCACATTATCTAAAAAAGGCACATAAACTAAAAAGACTGAAGAAAAGAGGAGAAAACAATCTTGCACCAGCATTAACATATATTAAAATCTTTTTAAACTACTCATGACCACCTTTACTAGAATTTATCACGTTTTATTGTAAGCTTTTATTGTGGTAAATTTTGTCTAACTTGTAGAATTTATAATAGATAATCTATTAAGGGAATAGATTTTTTCCCTATAGATTTATGTTGTAGATATTGTTTCTAAATGTGCAGGCTGTTGTTTTTCATAACAAATGCTATATAGATTAATAAAAAAAGGCATTATTGACCCGGTAATGATTAATAGGCTAGCTTTATTATAACAAATGCTACAGTTAAGAACTATGGTACATTTTCATAAGAGCAAGTACAAGTGCGAATCGAAGTTTTTTCTTTTTACTTTTCAGACTGATGAAGTCATTTACACAGACTTGGAAAAGGTTTTGGGTTCTTATATTTATGTCACATTATGACATCATCACTTATTGATTGACTCTTTATTCAGTGCCTTGGCTCTTTTTGTCCATCAATCACTGTTACATCTAATGCTCAGGAGGGGCTGTGGAAGCAGGAGAGGGTTTATAGGCAGTACTAAGAGGACATCACTTACCTCCTCTGGGAGCAAGGGTGCTGAAGAGCTGGAGAAGAGAGACTAAAGTGCCTGTTCTGACCATCCTAAACACCTGAGAAACATTGAAATATTCATTACAAAAAATAAGCAATGCTGTAGTGTCACCAGCCTTCCAAATATCAGTTATTTTAAGATAAAAAAAGAAAAAGAAAACCATTAGTAGTATAATATTTTTTTTTTAAGTATGATAATAAACCTATTTAAAGAAATAAACAACTAGGTCAAGACACATTTGTCTCCAATCTTCCCTGGTTTAAAGTGCAGTCTCCCAGGTCTCCCATGGGGGCATTCTGCCCCTTTCTCCCTCTCCATGGTGGGCCTGTTCACCCTGAGCTGAAAAGGTTCTATTATGTGATAGAGAACAATGTGTTGGGATCACATTCTCTAGCACTACCGTGTGAGTGGGCTATGGTGCTGCAGTTCCAGGCCTCCACAGTGCCAATGAGCCCGCGGCTGGGAGAACATGCCTTGCTCCTCTCCATCGTCTGAAGGGTCCATTACCAAGTGTTTATGTGCTATGACTTGTTGGCATCAGAGAAAGGGCTGTGAACAGTGAGGCTAATGGGTTTAATTTAGCAGGCTTGAGTTGCCGGGGTCTTTAAGGCAACCCTGAGGGGCTGAAGTTTGTGTTTCACTCCCTTTAGATTCACCCAGCCTTAGTGTGCCAAAATAAATGGACAACCTCCCAAATATCAGGTGATGGAAATGATAAGGATATAAAATTATTCTGATGGTAAAACTGTCAATTGGGAATGTTTTAGGCAGACCTATATTTTGATGAGGAGGACTAAATGGCTTTTAGAAAGTGCAGTGACAAAACAGATAGTAAGCAATAGTAAGCAACACTGGTTTAAACTGAAACATCCAGTCTAATTCAGTCTTAAGCATGATTCCACAGAAAACTTGTCTTAAAATAAACTACCTAATACTCAAATGCATATCCAAAAGAAAAATACTGCCGAAGGTCTAGTGTGTTATTAAATAATTAGTATTTGACTCATGTCATGTGTATGGCATGAAAATATATAATGTTATATAATTCAGTGGTATTAGGAAAAACAATCACATTGCGTTGCCTATTGTGAATTATGTAAGCTCTTCATAGTATCACAAATCCAGAATTATGTTGTCAGATTTCACTTAGCAAACCAAACCAAAGCTTGCAATGTCATTATAGCTAAGTCAAGACATGGTTTCAAATGTAAGTCTAAATTTCTCATATTTCACACAATGTTGGAATCTTAGAACAGGAATCAGATGACCTGTGCCTTTGCCTTAGTAAGATAATCATCCAGTGGTAGCAAAATAAATTTAGCATTGAGCTGTCGCATAAAATTATCGTACAGTAAAGAAAGTGTCATAAAAACCATTAAAAATGAAGTACAAGTCTTAAAATGAAGTACATCTAAAAATGCAAACAATTAACAACAAAAAAAAAGAATTTTTTTCTAGAAATCAGAGGAAATGTGTAATTAAAAAAAAACATTTCAGTGCAAACCGTATCAGGATGTTATTAATTAAAACATTCCATGGAAATAATTAAAACATATTAAAACATTGGCATGGAAACAAATGTACATTTTAATTCAAGCTGCTTGAATAATGAATGGATTCTTAAGTCATAGTCTTACGTGTATCATTTCTTCCTATTGCTAAATAAGAAAGAACATCCAACATTAATGAAATCCAGTCTCCTGAAGAGAGCCTATGTGTTTGGACAATGTCCTGTATAACATCTTCTGTCATGAAACCACAGCACAGACGAAACTTGCATTTGATGGGATTCCCAAGTGAACCATGAGATACTGCGTGAGATGCCAACAGGCAAATCCATTGCTCTCCACTTCACATTACATAGACTGGCAGAGTTCATTTGGCTAACCTCTCAGAAACCGATCTCAAACAAGCTGCCTGTCTGACGACTGGTATTAATAGCAATGATAGATGTTATCAAAATTACTTAGTTACCGATTGGAAGTTAAAACCTATCATTTACATTTTCATGCACAAAGTGTGTTTCCAAAACAAAGAGAGAGAAGGGAGGTGTAAATGAGGTAGAGAGCACCTGAACATCACTTGTGAGAAACTGACAAGGAGTGAAAGACAGCGAATTTGTCATAAGAAAGCAAAACAAAACAAGAACAAAACACAAGAGCTCCGGTTCCGAGACCACAACTAAGAATTCAGCACTCACCTGCCTTCATAGGACAGAAGTTCAGCACGTCACCTGTGCATGAGCCTCTAAGTCACATCCAAGTGGGTACCATCAACGCAGTCTCAAGAGCGGAGGGGCTCTGCTCTTGGATGCAGAAAAGGGAGGGGGAGACTGCCCAGAAAAACCCTTCCAAATCCTCTACTCACACAGAGCGCTGTGCTGGTCCAATTCCACCGGACAACCGCCAAGGACAAGAATGGCAAACACGGCCCAAACCGTGCCTCAGGGTACGCTTGATTTCAAAGAGCAAAAGTCTGGAGAAAGTGATCCCAGAATGAGAGGACAGAGGAGGAGTGAGTGTGTGGGTTCCCTGTACGGCTCTACTGGAGGGAGACGCATCAGAGGCAGGTGCTACCTTTTGCACCAGGTATAGTGTTAAATTTAATCTGAGATCAGTTTTTGGGGAAGGGGGAGGATAGGAGAGGGGAAGAGCAAGAGCAGAATGGTAAAGAGAGAGTGGATGAGAAAAGGGGGGTAGACCTGTGGACCAGTGAAGGGTGGCGTTTGGTAAGTAACTGAAGGGAAATATTGAAACTAGAGCCGTAAGCACAAAGAGGATTTCTGAAGAAAATGTCAGGCCTTTGGACTGAACCCCGATTCCCTAGATAGCAGCCCTCTCCATAGCTAGTGCACAGTCCACTTCATCTCTTTAAGGGGCTCTTCGGCCCACCCTAGGGGCATTTATTTACAAAAGGAAACACAGCAGAAAAACATTGCTTTATTTGACTGAAAAAGGGAGAAGAGCTTGGGTTACTGCATTAACATGAATCAACTTGGACACTCAATGTGTGTGCGTATGTGAGTGAATCAGTGCTCCTCCTCCTGTCTTACTGGGCTCCCTGCACCAATTAATGACAGCCTCATTTGCAACAGCTCACTCAACCCTGGGTTGGTCTCCAAATGGAGCTCATTTCCATAGATGCGGTGGTAAGATAATAACAGAATGAGGGGAAATCATTGGTGCATCCACGGTGATAGGGTCTGGGAAGGAGATGGGAGCGAGATCCGAGTCAGACTCAGCATTGTTTCTAGGAGGACAGTGGACGTAACTAAATACTGGTGGGGGCAGGATGTGTGAAAGCTGACTGGATGGACGCAGACCCCAGATTCCCTGTGACCAATGTGGGGGTCCCAGTGGAGGGTTCCTTTACACCTTGTTGCTTTGTTGTGCAAATGCAGCCCATACTCTTAACTAAACTAGTGCACAAGAACAGAGAATTTGACAAAGAGCGCAATGTGGTCCCAGGCTGACTGTTGGAGAGTTGAATCATCTTGTGTTGGAATGACCAGATATAGAAAAAAGAAATAGTGAGTAAGGACAAGGAGGAGACATCAATCCCTATCTTCTCACCATCGTCTCCCTCTGCCGTTGTAATGAGCTTACTAATAGGGTTTATCATTCTATGTCTTGTCTTTATATTTGTCCCTCATTCTTTTTCATGTTGACCCACAAACACAAATGTTGTGGTTGTGGAATAGGTCAACTAAGCTGAGATAATCCTGCATCTTTACAACCAGTTTCAGTCCCACCAAGAACAAGAGATGTCTATGAGCTTGACGATAAGCTTTAACTCCACTGTCTGGGCACTGGAGTCAAGTGTCTGATAAAATGTAATCGCAAACTGTCAGCCCCATCAACCACCTGCCAACCAAACCTGGCAGATCTGAATCAGGCTGACCGAATTACCATAATGTCAGTGGGTACAATAAAGACTTTGGAGTCATCGAACCATTTCCGTGGGAAAGGACTGAAGCATAGTTGAATGCACCAACGCTGTAGTTGCTTGCTGGTAGGTCCACCAGGCCTGACCCTGGAAGCTGGAAAAGGTCCTGGACAAGAACCTGGCTGGGTCATCCAGTATCTTAATTTTCATCCAAACCTCTTTGATGCATCCAACGCCAAGCAGTTGCTTTGCCCTCATTTTCTTTCCTTTCCTCAACAATGTCAAGCCCCCTTAAGGTAACTCAAACCTTCTCAGAAAACATCTCCCCCTCTTGGCCACACAATGAGCCTCCTTCAGCCTTCCTTGCTCCATGATGCACAGGGTAGATCAGGCTACCAGCTGCCCAGCCAGTTCTTTTTGCTCTAGCTACAGAGAGGCGATAAAAAAAAAAAATCTTAAATCCCCCACCCATCCAAAACGCACCAAATCCCTCAGCAGCTCCCGGTGTGACCTTGTCTTTGTAGCCTACCCCTGCTTTCATGCCTTGGTAACCCCCTTGTTCTTCTTCCCTCAGATTGGCACAACTCTCGGTGTTGCCGATCCACCAGTGAACTCTGGATACTGCTGCACTCTGGGAGGTTATGCTGCCCAAAAGTAAGGCCACTAAGGAGATGGAAGTTTTAAGCCTTGGTTGGACAGAGCTGTACGTGAGTCTGCGAGTGTGACAGCAATGCCAGATTTGGCACGTGTAGGTTTCACCTGTAGGCGTGACAGGGTTAGGCTAGCACTTCTAAACGTGGTGAAACCAATAAGGCATGATACTTTCTATCAGCCAAACTGTTGCGGTGATCCAGGTGGCAGTCTTGCATGTGGCTGTCTGGCTGGATAGACTCCAGTTGGATGCTAGCATTTGCCTAGGTTCTTGGTGAGGTCTCCGCAGTGGCTAGTCCCTAGTGTGAGTTGGGTAAAATACACAACTACTGCAAGAAAAGAAGAATAGTTACAAGAAAGCACAGCAAAAAAACAGAAAAGGCAACAAACGAAGGTGAAATAAACAGGTTACAAGGTTAGCTTTATCAGACAGACAGACCATACTGGTTGTTATGCTGTACCACTCAAATTTTGCAGGTTCAACAGCTGGGACAAAATAATGCAGGTGTATGATGGACTTTGGATTAAAACTAAATGAGGACATAACATGGGGGACCTCTGCTGTTAACATCATTAACATTAACATACCTCTGCTCATGTCAGATGAACCATGTAATGTTACGTCCACTAACAATAAAACAAATGTCATTAAAAAGAGAAACTTCATTACCGTGGCAGCTTGGGGTACATGAAGACTCAATTAATTTCATGCAAAGCCTTGGCTGCTTTTTATTTATTTTTTTAAACATTTTTCAGTATGGCATTCAACAGAATTTCACATAATGGTAAAATACCATTACTTACTCGTAACACAAATCACACACTTTTACAATAATATTCTATATCCGTGTTCATATAACCATTAATACTGAATTAATATCCATGGCACAAGCCAATGGCCCTCTTTAAACTCTGAAAACACCATTATACAGACCCAGCAATAGGTAAATATGTCAGCACCTGTTCTGTTAACAACATTTTGGGGCTAGAGGCCAGATGTCCTTTGGGAGCAGAACAGAGAATCACGAGTCATCACCACAACCAGAACACAATAAGAACAAAATATGAGCAATGAGAAACTTGTAGAGACACAGGCACTGCTGAAAGACGGGAGAAAGGGGATGCTGGAAGCAAACACACTATGGTTCGCAGATGAGAATGAAAGCAAACATTGTAGGACATTAGTAAGCATTATGGGGATTTACAATTTTCAGTGAAAAGTAAAATTACACGGGGAGTGAGTAAATAAATGTGGCAACAATATGGTATAATCATAGGATTTGGACAAAAATATGACAGTCAAGCTCAATTTCCAGTGATAGGACACAACTGAAACAGTGATGGGACTTTTAAGCATAACAGAGTCAGATTAGAGAGTCAGAAGCTGGACTTCTCTGTGATAAGACAATAACAGATCATCAGTGTGACATATGTGGTTACACTGAAACAAAGCTGTCTAAATATCTGACAATATCCATGTAGTAGTGCTAATATATATATAACAACTTTAGCTTATCTGAACCTCTAATGGATTCTGAGTTCCGTTAACACCCTCCACTGGGATAGGGTTGCATAGGGACAGCTTGGTAACTAGAGAGGGAGTCTATCCTATATTAGTCACTCCAACATTAGAGCCATTCTGCTGGGAAATGGCATGGGAATGAACAGCCATGGTAATCCAATTCCTGAAATGTATAGACTGGTATGTCTGTGACTGTGGTTAAAAACTGTGGTTAAAAAAAAAAACAAGTCCAAAAGACTGAATGTTAAAATTAGTCCATATCTGTGCAACACATTATAGTTGTCATTTAGTTTGATATTAAGAAAGTGCATGGTTTAAGTTCATCAAACAATTCTCTTTGGTAAGGGAACAGGTACTTGCCGAATGCACTGACAGTCATTTGCAAGCTATAAAATCCCTTATATGTTTCATGCTCAACAAATGACAACAGAAATATCTTCAACTTCCTTTAAACTTGTAATATGTCAAAATTTAAAATAAAAAATAAATAAAATAAAAATCAGTCAAAATTAAATTTATCAGTGTGCACATTTCCACTTTTAAAATAATAAGCCCACAAAAAAGCATATCTACTCAATAAAAATTAAATATGGCTTAATTCTCATTATTATTGGTCCCCTTGGGTTTTCCTTTTCTGTAACATGGGTGTGATAATAATCAAATGCAAGTTCATAACCCAACAGCACATGATCTGTCTTAAACATCAATGAGAGTATGGCACCTACATATTCCAAGGACTCTTTCCACTAGTGAGAGAGGAGACTAGGGGATTGCAGTCGGTCTGTGGCCATGATAGGGGGAGCTTTGAATGTAAAGTGTGTAAACCTTAGAGGGCTTCAGGGTTGTATGTGACCCTGTTGTAATTCAAGCAGCAAAGAAGTGGCAGAGAAAAGACCTAACGTGTCTGTCTCCCCTTCTCTAAGCATTCACAATCTGCATCTACATATTTTTTTCCTTGTATTCAGTAATTTTGGCATTTTTCAAGTCTAGCCATTGTTAAGTGATTTTAAAAGAGAGCATTACTTAATAAATCTAGACAGCATCTAGACAGTTACATATATATATACAGTATATATATATATTATATATATAGTGTCTTGGTATTGATTTAGCAAGAAGCTGCAGTACACAAGATTTTGGTGAAAAATTGCCTTAACCTGATTTAAGTTTATGGTAAGTTTATAATAATTTATCATTTGAACTTTCCGATTTCGCAGGAAATGCTACGTTCATATAATTCCTCTTTGTGTGGCTACGTGATGTCTGTAAAATAAGGAGAAAAATGTTTGGCTATTGCAATGCATGTATGATGTGGTGGGAGGTGTGTTAGTTCTGATAGCTTGTAGCCATAACCACTCAGGAACATTATAAATACAATGGATCATTCAAAAATAAACCATATGAGAGATCATATAAGCAATCACTTTCCACTACAGTGGAAGACTATTACCTGCTCAAAAGACATTATTAATGGATATTTGTCTTCTTACTTCTTCTTTCTTTTAGGAGGGGGCGAGTTTTGACATTGCTAATGACATTTGCTCTTTCAAAACTTTCATACTGGTAAAAAATGTATAGCCTGAATGCACTGTAAGTCGCTTTGGATAAAAGCATCTGCTAAATGCATAAATTATTATTATTATTATTATTACAAAAGGATTGCCCGTATCCATGGTTACACCGGTATGCCTCAAACTATCATATTCAGCCATGCTGAAGAGCTAAGTCGAAGCCCAAATCACATAATTACCAGAATAATGTTCCTCCGCGAGTAACTTGGAATTTTACACCTCAGCTACTAGGGGGCCAAATATTCCATACTGCACCTTTGATAAATGCTAAAATATTCTTTAGAGTAGAGGCATGTATGCAGTTGTGGGTAATTCCTGAGAAGCAGTCTCATAAACACACATCAAGAAAAATTATTACGTACACACATTTTTTCTTGTATACATACATCCACAGAGCAGTGAATGTTAAAAGGGTTTTTTAAATTCTGATCCAACATCTGTTTTTAGGGACCATTTTTAAATAGAACTGAAGATTCTGGAAAACCAGAGTGGCAGTTTTACTCTGTCCTCAACATAAAGCATGCTGATCTGTGCACTGTTCACAGCATTCACATTGCCTGTATTGGAAGATTGTTAAGGTAAGGTATTCCAATAATTCTGGAAACAACTCAACCAGTCATTTTTCCAAAGAGTGCTCAGTTGTTGCTCTCTTTTCTGTCACTGTGTCTTGGGCACCACCAAGATTTCATCTCCATCTCGTATACTGTAGGAATGAAGTGCTCGTGCTCCATATTTCATTTCCTGAGGCTCTAGTGCGTAGCCAAGCTGCCGGTCGATATAGTACACACGTATCTTTTTTGGGGGTAGCTGGACCATGGCTCTCAAGTGCTTCTTTAGGTCTGCCACTGTCTGATCCAATCTGAGCTCTAGGGGCTCTGTCTGGTCCCCAAAACGCACCTCTACCTGGACATGACAGAGAGGGCGCAAATCCACCTCTGCAAGTGGGGCTAGGCGGCCATAGCGTGCTACCAAAGTGTGGTACCTGAAAAAAGTGGACAGCAGTGAGAAAAGAAGAACCATGTGAATTTAGCCAATGTATATGCTTGTTCGCTACTACACCCAGTGACCCATTTATGTTAAAACAAAATGTTGGAGTGGATTTTAGTTAAGACAGAAAGACTGTGAAGAAACCAAGAATAGAGAGAATATACGAAAGCTCTGATCCAAAATCTAGGGAACTGCCTACCTAGAAAGCATTTTCAATCAACAAAAGCATACTGACACAAAAGCTATTATTCCAGACAGTAGGCAGCAATATTTTGCTTCCAAGATAACTTGAAACTGTAACTAACACAAAAAAAAAAAAAAATTATACTGAATAAAAATTAAAGACATTTTTATATGTTAGATTTTTATGCTTGTTAGCATCACCCTGGTTCTCTCGACAAAAAGTTCGACCAAGAGTTCAAAAATGCTAACTTATTCCTGGGTTTTAGGAGTTCTTTCTACAGCACCCTACAGTTAGCTTAACAATATGCTAATCCTATTGGAATCAATTCTGGGTCATACTTTTACATCCCGCAATCTTTGTGCAGAGTTGCTACTTATGTGGACTGCTGCAGTTGTTCCAGTTCAGTCAAAAGTGAGGTTTCATGTCTTAGAAGTCAACTGCTTATTTAGGAGCTGGACTAACAAGTCAACTACGATTTAGAACAGAGCTAATGATCTACAAAAGCACAGGTAAAGCACACTTCTACTTGATATATGCTTGCACAACATGGTATGCAGACATCTCACCTCTCTCAGAAAGGTACGGGAGTCTCTTGATTTCCACAAATGATATACAACATCCCGGAAATGAAGAGAGTGGGAGAGAAAGCCTATTTCCACCTGGTATTAAGATGTGTTTTTGGAGAAGTGCTCAGCCACGTGGTCAGAGGGTACTGTGCCATCTCCTAGAAATGTTTTTTTGCATGGTGGGATGTCTGCATATGTCTGTTTTCATAAAAATTGTCAATCACTCTCAAACATTAAAAAAAAGACAGCTCCTCTAAACAATACTAATATCAGTGCACCATGGAAGTGACCAGAGTTGTGTGTGTTTGTGAGAAAAGGCTGTTATGTATTTGTGTACCTGTTTGTGTGTCTGTGAAGCACACTGAGTTTTTAAACCGTGAGAAAGTTCTCACCACCACCCCGGCTACCCTCCCTTCTTTCCCATCTTGCTGAAGGATTGTGGGAAAGATAAGAGGAGATCGGAAGGAACAATTAAATAAAATCTCCACAAAAAAAGTCTTTTAGCTTTAGAGGGCTACAGTAACCGACACAGCCAATCAAAGTAATTTCCCCAGCCTGTCCAGAAAAGTCTCCCCACAAAGCAGAGCCTGAGCCTGGGTAGGTGCCTGTGGCTCCCTGCCTTCGCCATGGGAATACTGCCCCCTCTATACAAAGTGCCACTCTGTCTGAGAGAAAGAACAGTCTCACTCAAGGGTCTCATTTAGTGTGGCTAAGCTCCTTAATTGAAGGTGAATGGGTGTTCGCTGTGATAACATAGCTGCCTTGGATTCCTTGAACAGTGCTTAGATCAGTCTCAGAGATGGGACCGGACAGTCGCCACCATGCAGTGCACCAGGTTCATAGTAGAGCCATACAGTGAGTCTACTGTAGATACTGCAGTTGTTGATGGCCTCAAAAACAACATGATCCGTTTTCAGGTAGATAACATGCACACAATCACCATTAGCTCAAAATTTAGATACCTACAACATAACATGAGAAATGTCCCCTTGAGACCCAATTAAATTCACTTGTGATTTACCTGTTAGCAATTTGGCTTTTTATCCAAAGCAAGTTTAGTACACATATTACAGTGGCAGTCACCCTGGATGAACTTGGGGGTGGGGAACCTGTCTATTTGAAAGTACAGTGGAGATACAGTTCCTTAGGCGTTGTTCACACTCCACACAGCTGCCGTTTGTGCTTTACAAACTTTAGGACTGACAGTCATTTTGCATCAGTTGAAATCGTATCTGTTTCTTGACACAGTGTAGGCAATAACTAGTATATCTACATGGGTTGCTATAGTAATGATGTAGGTGGTTGCATGAGACCAAGAGCATTTTTTCTTTTCAAACAACAGAGTCACACAAGGCAAAATAACAGACAACAGGAGCAATATTTGTCCAAAATATTCACTATACTTTATATTTTTTGGATGGGAACCAATGAGTTAGCTTTATTATTGAGGACATTAGTGGGTCTGAGACAATGTTGCCGGTGGTCCCCCCTGACAACAGCTCTAATTTACTATTGAAAAAATTAATTAAAATTAATTCAGACATAGTTTTAGACACTACCTCACATCCTGTATGATGTTACGTGTCCTGATTGACATTAAAAAGTACTTGGAATTTGATCTGATTGCTTAGACTGAAATACATTTAAGTCTGATTTCATTCGTGTTTCAGTCCTGTTCAGACTACAAAAAAAATAAATGCTTGAGTTAGATAAATTTGCTGCATGTTTGAAGAAATCGTTATTAACCCAGGTACTGCACCTCAAACTATCATCACAACCTCAATGTAGTCGCCACTATACCCTTAAATTAATTAAAACGGCAGTAAATGCTTTAATGGGGACTTGTCTACATGTTGTCTATGAATGCTTCTATCTTGACATCTTTAGCATCGACATCCCCCATGATGGATGCTAAAGAGCCTGGTTATGCAATCCACTTATCTTCTTAAATTTCTCATTGTCCGTAAAGAGTGATGCACTTAGATTTTCCCTATACATTTACCTTCTTACATCGTTGTTCTCCTCTAGGCCCCTATGTTGCCTTTCGCTGTCAAAATGTCAACAAGGTCCCAGGCTATAGTTACTCAAAGACAGTAAGACCAATAGCCCCTTTCATTTTCTTCATCCTCTCCTCCTGTCATCACTGTCTTTGCATCCCTCCCCTCTGGTCTCATTCCTGTGTTTCCCATTCCTCCCAGGGAGGATCAGGTTTTAGTTACTCAAAGGCTGATGAATGTATAGGGCTCCTTCACCTATTTAACGGTCTCCCTCCTACCCACATAAGCTATGTAACAAATGTACCTCACAGCTGACCAGTGGATGGTGACTGGGACCAATTTGTTTGCAGCATTAGTACAACTAAACTAAAGCTAAAATAGCTATTCCAGACTATTTTCAATGCTATTTTAGTGCACAAAGTAGTTTTAGAAGGATTTTCATAGGTATACGCTAAACAACATATACTGTATAGGCCTGATCTGGGAAATCGTTGTGAGCAATCAAGCAGTGAAAGGTTTGAATTACACTAGCCAGCACTCAAATCTCTATATCTTCTCAGCTTTATAAAGATAACAGTCCCATGCCTACTTATACCTAAAGTTTATGTCTAAGCAACCGTAAATGCGACTAAGGTTACTGTGGAATCACTTTGAAAGTCTCTCAAATGGTTCTACCCATTACTTTATGCCACTACAGTTTGAGTCTCATAAATTAGGCTGAATGGGTCTCTATACCAGTTACGTCTCATGCATTCAAAGATGGCCTGGTCCAAAGGTGCGTTTGAGGTCAGGGAAGCATCATTTCTTTCTGTCCATCTCTTTCTCTGTTTCTCAGATCTTTGCCCTCTTTCAGAGTTTTATCACAGAGTCGGTAACAAAGCCTAAGCTCTGATCTGTGCCCAAAGGGTGGGGGAAAGAGCAGGCTGGGTTCAAAAAGGGGGCAACCTTAACCCATATCTAGAGTTTACCATCTACTTCTACACCTGCCCTTTCACCCTCCAGTGCCAACTCTCATCTCAAACTCTTCCCTCTGGGAAATGGCTTTTCCTCCAGAAACAGACAGAGAAAAAAGAAATCGAGGTTGTGGATGGAGTGAGGAGGTCAGAAATGAGGGGCAGTGTACCCGGGTTTTAGTTTACATAGGTGATGAAAAGAAAGACTCTAAAGAAGTGGTCCCGGTGGGCACAAGAAAAAATAAATGAAAAAGTGAGTTGTTAAGTAATGGTTCACCCAGTCATGAAAACTTTCTCATGTCTTTGAAACCCATTTGATTTTCTTTCTTCTTTCAAACAATGAAAGTGAATGGTGACCACAGCTGTCAATCAAAATTTTAGTCAGATTTCACTTCACTCACTTCAGAAGACTTGGAATATAGTGCACTAGTTGTATGGACAATTTTTATAACTTTTATGATATTTGTACAGTGTTTGACAACCCCTGGTCCCCATCCACTTTCATATTATGGAAGAGAGCAGCTCAGTCTGCTAAACTTCTCCTTGATCTCCTTGAGATGAAGTAAATTATGACAGAATTTTCATTTTAGGCAAACTATTCCATTAGTATGGAGCCCCGCACATAACATAAAAAAATGACAAAAACAATTAAATAAAATAAAAAAATAAGATGCTGTGGCCACAAATTAAGAAATTGTTCCTGCGACTTATTAATTTGTGGCCACATTGTACTAATTTGTTCCCTTCTTTTAAATTTTAAGTTAAAATTAAATCAAGTTCAAATCATTTCCACAATTTAACAATTTACCTTAATCAGGGGAACAAATGAATGTCATGGGATAAATTCGTAATTTGTGTTTTTTATGTATTTATGCTATGGTATTTCGTTTTCTCTACGTGTCACTTGTGGGGCTCTGTGTTTTAGTTGTATAAAATTTCAAGTGAGAGGAATGTCAATGTTATCATGTTATCAGGGTTGTAAAAAAAACTCACTTTAGTTTCTGATACTTTAGACAGATGATAAAAGGCCACTATTTCTGAGAAAGGCCCATTTCCACCTCATCTCTAGTTTCCCGACCTTCTATAGCTAGAACGGGAACTGTGTCATAACTGTTTAGACAACTTAATCAATTCACTAGGTCTAAGAGCCATTCCAGAACAAAGGCAACACCATCTCCATCTCTCAACGGAAAAAACAGGAGAGAATGAGTCAAGGACGTCATTCCATCCCCTTTTGAAAAAATTCTCCAGCTAACTCAATCCCACCCAAAGCAAATGAAAAGGGGCAGGAGAGAAGAACAGGGAGGGGGATATAAGGAGGGGAAGAACGAATAAAGCTGCCACCTTGTGTATCGATTTTCTGATTGGGGTATTCCAGTACAAAGGCGTCTTTGAGGAGGCAGAGAGTGGACACATTGTCTCCCAAAGGTTAGAATCCCCTGCTGGAAGCTGGGGCCTGCCGCAGTCACTGAAACAGTCCTCCAAACACTCTCCCAGGTTAAGCGGAATGGGGTGTGTTAAGAACGTGGGTGATCCGTTTTCTGTGTCTTTGACCTGCAAAGACTTCCCAAAATATCCCCCCGAAAGTCCCCCAAAAAAAGGGATAAGGAAAGAGGGGAGGCCGGAAGACATGAGGGATGGGAGAGTTAAACGTCACCTGGATAACTGGAGATGCCAAACTAAAGAAAAAGAAGTGAAAGGAAAATAGGTTGGAATGTAGAAGAGAGAGAGAGAGAGAGAAAGACAGAAAGGCTATTTGTGCTAAACCGGAAAGAGGTGGCTGGGCTCTCCCAAGATTTTATTACATAGCAGCAAAATTTTGTTCCAACTAGAGTAACCACATTCTATAGTAAGCTACTGAGAAACAAGCAATACTGACAATAAAAACTGCAAGGGCTAAACTAACCTTTAATGTCTGTGGAACGACTGTAAGAGGATGTAACCTAAATTACAGCAAAACACTTTTCAGTGCATTATTCAAAACTGACAATGTTTATTTGTATACGAAAAACAAACTGGTGCTCATTAAAGTCAGCATAAAATGAAAATTCATCTCTATTTTCTGAGTGCATATTATTGATCTAATTGTGAACTCATTTGTCCATGTTGTTACATTTTTTGTCCTCATAATTCTTAATCCAAATCTCATAACTTGATCTTCCACTGAAATGACAGAATTCTGTCCACTGACCTATGCTAGACTCCAATAATTTCATCTGATTAAATCCCGCCTCTTTCTTACAATCGACTGTAAGCTCAAATTCGGATCTGCCTCCATCCAAATTAATAACCGATGCATAGAAACAAGCTCCTGCACTGCATTATTTTCCTTTTCAATAATCAGTTTTACTCAGATGTACTTCACAACACAGAAAAAAAAGATTTGTCCCTACTCCAGTTTCATTGCAACTTTAAACCCTTTAAAGTTCCTCTGTATGTTTCTATATAGACTTATTTTATGGATATCCATATATGCTGTAAATATGCTGTAAATAATTAACAGACAGCCTTTTAGTGTTCAATAAAGAAGTATCTTCTTAGGGGTACTAATTTGGAATAACTAAAACTGCAGAGAGAAACCAAAGAGCTATAAACTTTCAAGCTTTGAAGAAAATGGGTAACATTAGTTATGGGTAACAGATAAGACCCGGGATATAAAAATAAAAAGAAGCGGCAACACTTTATTTTAAGGTGTCCTTGTTACACGTTACATGTACTTACTATTAACAATTAATTATGCATAATTACATGCAAGTAACCCTAAGCCAAACCCTAATCCTAACCCTAACATATAGTAAGTACATGTAGTTCATTAATATTACTCAGTACTTAAATGTATAATTACACTGTAACAAGGACACCTTAAAATAAAGTGTAACCAAAGAAGCATATTATTTAAATTATAATAGCGATATTATAGGCTGATTAAATTGAATATTTTCATGATATAGACACCAATCATTTTCTGTACTGTATATAGTAATAGTATATGTATTTTCTGTACTGTACTGTATATGTACTGTATATTTTCTGTACTTTATATGTCTATAAAGATTGAGAGAGTTGTGTATATGGAGTGTGGTGGCGTGAGGGGTGCAGGTGGGTCACCTCTGGGGTAGCTCATCCTCAGGGCAGTCGAGGTGGTAGCGGATGAAAAAGCGTTCTGCATCCTCTCTTTCTCCATTAGTGACAACACTGCCGTTCAATACAGTCACATGAGGCAACCTTACAAAACACAGAAGAAGAACAATTGCGTGTGAGGAAGGGAAACAGAAAGAGACACGGAATACATGGACGTGTACAACTCCATATCGGTGGCCACATTGATTTGTGTAATCATTTCTAACAATTTCAAAAGTGGCTACTTTTGTGTATGATTACTCACTGTGCTACCATAAGATAACGTCTCTCCTGATCGGTGTAGGGCTGCAGTAAAGGAATACCCATCACTCTGACCTCTTGAAGCTTTGGGAAGAAATTCAGTTTCTCAATGTCCTCCCAGCAACATAGACCTAAAATAACACAACACGTACATATTAGCTAATAATCCATTAAAGGTGTAGTTTACCTAAAAATGAATTCTGTCAATTTTTAAATTACTTACCCACATGTTGATCCAAACACACTAGACTTTGCTTCATCTTCGAAACACAAATGAAGACATTTTAATGAATTTTTGTTCAGAACACATCAAGCAAGCACATTTGGGCTTCCCTTTACCATATTAGATGTGTGCGTTGATCAGTGTTTAAATGTCAATAAAAGTCCAAATTAAATCTGTTCATCACAAAGCAATTGCGCCTTTTCAGAAGACTTGGATTAACCATTCAAGTGGATTCATATGGAGTAAGTTTTCTATGTTTTAGGAAGTTTTTGAAGCATCATAGTATTAATGGAATAGACCTTCAATGGAGGGACAGATATATTTCAAGTTTCATTAAAAATATAATTTGTGTTTCCAATATGAACAAATATCTTATGGTTTGGAACAACATGAGGGTGAGAAATGTATTTTTGGGGTAAACTAACCCATGATTGTTTAAGAGATGTACTTAATTTACAACTCAAAACCACAGAAAGGAGATGACCTACTGAATAATAGAAAAAGAACATTTGAAAGCTGCATTGGAAGGGAAGATTTTCAATGAAGAACTGCTTCACTTTTGGTCTGTTCCTCATACAAAACTACTCAATTTTGTTTAAATTATAAATTAACAGATTATGAAGGGTAATGCTGCAACTACCTAGACATGTGTGTGTGTGCTGATATTCTGTCTGACTCTACAGAGATGATGTTCATGCAATCCAGCACCTGAGTTGTGTAGGTTGATGCTGCGCAGGTTGGGGAAGAGTCTCAGTAGAGAGTCCTCAGGCTCGTGGATAGATGAGAGGGAGTTGTTTGCCAGAATAAGAGACACCAGGCCTGGATATATAAGGCCCAATTTACGAACCTCCGCCCAATCCTGCAGCTGGTTATCTGTGATATGCAGCAGGCGCAGGGACGGGCACGGTATAGATGATACACTCACGCTCTCATACTCGTTCAGACACAAAAACAATTCCTCCAGCCTACATACATAGAACCACACGAAAACACCAAGTTTTAGTGCATGACAAAACTACCATTTTCACAACTATAGGGCCATGCGACAGTCACACAATACCAAATACCTCCATTTTAGGAAAAAAAGTCCATTAAAATACATAAAAATGTTAGTTTGGCATAATCTTTGATTTCTTGGGAAAAAATATTTTAACAAAACTGCTTCAATGATTGGCATAGTTTAAAAAGTTTTAGTTTAAGAGCCCACCAAAATTGGCAAAACATCTTCTGTAGTAATATGTTGCTTGGTAAATTGTAGTTTGTCATTATATATGGCTGCTTGAAAATGTCAACTTATTTTGCTCCAAGAATTGTGTAGTTAAGTAATCTTCACAGCAGGGTCTAAAATGATCTTAACCTTGAGCTAAACCTTGACCCCTTGGGCCCAACATATTGATTTCAGGCTGAACTACCAGTGTAAGTTTACGGTGGCAGAACCTGTTTGTCCGAACAATGAATGCTTGGAAAGAATTACAACTTTTGCAATGCAGAGACACTGCACACTTAAATCATAAATAATGTATTAAAAAAACATGACAAACACATAAAAAAGCTCTAAAAAATCTGCGGGGGTGCAGACCGAGGCTACTTAAATGCTATAAAACACACACACACTTACTCTAGGATCTCTCGTGTAAGTGTGTGCACCATGTCCCAGGTGACATGCGTGTTATTGAGCACAAGGCGGCGGAGGCCTGAGAACGCTTCAGCAGCTCCAGGCTCAAGACTCGACCCTCTCAGTGGATTCATACTCAGATTAAGAAAGTCTAGGTTAGGGATGTTAGACAGGATCTTACTTATCTACAAAGAGAAGAGGAAAGGAGAGAAAAGAATGAAAAACTGACCAAACCCAAACAGTTTGTTTAGTCAAGCTTGTGTTAGGTAGCTGACCTCAACTTCATCATTGTACTTTTAAATGTTGACAGAAAAACTGGCAAAAAAAAAAGTCCACAGACAGAAGTCACTTTCAAATTAAACAGCACTCTGTTTGTCAACACACCGAAATTTGTGTGGAAAAACTATGCAAAATCTGTGTGGGCAAATTATTTGCCCTTATTCAAAAGAAATGACTGGATTTCATTTAGCCCATGAAACTTTGCCAAAAATGATACAAGATCACCCAAAAATTTTGCTGAAAATTTACTTTAGGCCATCCAAGATGTAGATGAGTTTGTTTCGTTATCACAACAGATTTTGAGGAATGTATTGATGGACAGTTGATTTACTGGAGTCATGTGGATTACTGTGATATTTTTAACAGCTGTTGGAACTCTCATTCTGACGGCACCCATTTACTGCAATGGTGAGCAAGTAATGTAATGCTGCATTTGTAATCCAAATCTGTTCATATGAAGAAACAAATTCATCTACATCTTGGATAGCCTAAGGGTGACCAAATTTTCATTTTTGGTTGACCTACTCCTTTAAGACTTATTTTCTACCAACATCAAAGTATGAAATCTGATAAGACTTAAAGGGGTCATATGATGTTGCTAAAAAGAACATTATTTTGTGTATTTGGTGAAATGAAATGTGTTTATGCGGTTTAAGGTTCAAAAAACACATTATTTTCCACATACTGTACTTTATTGTTTCTCCTCTATGCCCCGCCTTTCTAAAATTCGTCGATTTTTACAAAGCTCGTCGGTCTGAAAAGCGAGGTGTGCTCTGATTGGCCAGCTATCCAGTGCGTTGTGATTGGCCGAATACCTCAAGCGTACAGCGAGAATAAAAGTAACGCCTTCTTTCTTTGCATGAACATTTGAGCGGTGTCATGCAAATCTTCCCACATTGTGACGTAGATATGTGGGGGCGTGTTAGAATGAGCCGCTTTAGGTAGGCGTGGTTGACTCTTAACTTTTATAAAGAATATCTCTTTGGATTTGAGACTTTAGTCTTTGCAACTTTACAGATCTTCTTTATGCACCAAGAGCTTGTAACACTTCAAAGAGAAAGGAAAAATTGAAATCGCATCATATGACCCCTTTAATACGGTTCTATATGTTAACCATGATTTAACGCAATAATACTTTTACAGCATTTATTAAACTTACTAAATTTATTTGAATTTCTACAAATACTAACACTTTTTTTTAAGTTGCATAAATTAACATTAAATTCATTGTTCATTGTTAGCTTATGATACCTAATGCATTAATCACTGTTAATGAACTGAATATTATTGAATCGTTCAGTAAGCATTACCTATATATCTTAATGTGAAATGACATTTTTGCGTTAAATACACAAATGTAAATACACCGAGACAAAACCTGTGACTCAAACACATTTTTATCACCTCTCCCCAGTCTTTTAACTGGTTGTGAGAGAGGTCTAACTCAACCACGTGAGCACAGAAAGTGGCCACCTCCTCTTCATCTCCGGCCTCTGTGATTCCACAACTATCCAGAACCAGGATTCTGGGCAGATTCAGACGATCTAACACACAAATACACAGAGACATAAACTGCCTTTAAATAACCAGTTAATGTAATTAATAGATGAAAAATAATTTAACTTAATATCTTTGGAATATCCTTTAGTTTTTGGCCCTAGAATACATTTATATAATGATAACAACATGTGTTCTTCAACAGACACAGCAAAACAGTGTTAAATGATAATAACCAGTGTGCCAGGATCCAGATCGTATCTAACACACCCTCGTTAACTAGGAGGCTCAGCATTTCACCTAATGCCAAAAATAAAACTGACCTTTGACAGGTGAACCCTGGGGACTCGACCGGATCACCACTCCAACTCCTGGCCCACGGCAGTATGGGAAGTTTTCCGGGCTGTACTTCTCACTGATCACCTGCACTAAAGTGCGTCCTTCTGTCTCCTCTGACTCCATCTCACCTCTCCTCACACTCTCACACCTTCAGCTGAGCAAACACAAACAGGATTGAGTGTGTTAAGGTGAATGTAGCATCAGATTCAGTGAAACAAACAGGTTTATCAGTTATGTGGACCGAGTGGACAGGCATGCACTTGAAAGAAATGGTTTGCTAACATTAGAAGAGAGTTGTCTGGAATTTTGGGCCGGGGCAAAGGTTAGTACAACAAGTTTCAAAGAGCTGACGTTTGGGTCAATGACATTTATGACTGTCCAGGATTTTTTTTTAAATCCTTTAAAAATCTAGTTTAAAACATTTTCAGAGTTGTAGAAATGTGTTATATAGTAAAAAAAAAAATGTATTACTATTCACAAGAACAGTTTAAATTTAATGACTCTAAAATTGTCATCTGGTAAAAAAAAAGTCAAGTAAAAAGCAAAGAAAGACATATTCCTTACACCATGAATAGTGGCTCTAGGATCATCAAAAAGGCTTTTAATATAAATTTTTCAAGGTAAAAGTTTTTTTTTTTTATATGAACTATTAATTCATAAATATTATTATGTTTTTGGGGAGTTGGACACTCATGGGGATCTGTGGCAGTGTTCTCTATGATATAATTTCCTGTTTTTTTGTTTGTTTGTTTGTTTATTTATATAGCACAATTTAATGCAACACCAGGTTGCCCAAAGTGCTTCACAATATCACAATAAAATTACATAAAAACAAGCATAGTCTCAAATAACAACACAAATCACATAACAACATGGACACAATTTAAAATAACTAAACCTGCATCACAACAACTCCTCATTAGTCTTTAAAAGATGTGCTTTTAACACAGCTTTGAAAACCGTTAGTGAGTTAACGGATCTAATACTATGAGGGAGGTCATTCCACAGTTTTGGACCAGCTCGCGAAAAGGCTCTATCTCCCCTGTGTTTGTATTTTGTCCTAGTAACACAAAGGAGTTGTTGATTTTCGGACCTCAGAGATCTCGTAGGGATATAAACTGATATCATACTTGACAAATACCCAGGGGTTAAATTGTGAAGGGCCATAAAAACGAAAATAAGAATCCTATAAATTATTTTAAGCCGTACCGGCAGCCAATTTAGTGACGCAAGTAATGGAGTGACTGAGTCATGTTTTTTTGCAGACTTAATCATTCTCGCCGCTGCGTTCTGGATTCTCTGTAGGCGCCCCAGTGCACCACAATCAACTCCAAAATAAAGGGAGTTACAATAGTCCATTCGAGTGAAAACAATAGCCGTAATGGCTTTCTCCAAATCAGTGGTAGATAAAAACGGTTTCGTCTTCGCTAATAGACGTAAATGAAAAAAACAAGATCTCACCACTGTGTTTATTTGCCTGTCCATCTTTAATTAACTATCCAAAACAAAGCCCAAGTCTTTCACATGATCCAGTGGTGTGAACGGATGGGGCGCGCTGAGCATATGTATGAGCCTCTTTTGTCTTGACAGATGAATCTGTAAGTGTAAAGAGATCTTCAATGCTAAAAGATTGGCCTGGTGATTTATTCTGTCTGTGGGTGCCTTTCCATGAGCAGAAGAGTGATCTACATCTAATCTAATCCTCAGAATGAAACCGGCACAGACAGATATCTGTCACAACCTTCTGTGAAGTCCACTCAAAGTACATCTCACAAACTACACTTCAAAGCAAGATTGATCTTGCTCCAAAACCTTGTCTTTCCAGACCAGACAAAGTTTATTTTTTCTTTTTAGAGTGAGTGTGTGTGTGTGAGAGAGAGAGAGAGGGAGAGAGAGAGAGAGAGAGAGAGAGAGAGAGAGAGACTATAAAACACCCATAGTGGGTGGATGGGACTGCATTACTATTAGAGACCAAACATTTTTGTTTATGTAACTAGCCAGTTTATAATTACCAGTTTGTTTAACTTTTTTTTAAATACTTTATGATAAAAAAATCTTTGAAATCTATGTTTTGTTAAAAAATTTTACTGTTTATTGTTGATTAATTAAATATTAGGTCCATTTAGTAATATTACCAGACACAACTTTTGATTTGTATTTTTCATTGTCAGTTCATGGTAACTAATTTAGTAAACTAATGGAACATTACTGTAAAGTGTTACAAAAAAGTTGGACACTTCTGGACTTGGCTACTGCATTTTAATCACGCTAAAATCCACAAAATATTAAAGTTGGCATGAAATGAAAATTGCGATGGCTTTACATTTCTAATGTGACGAATACGCAAGTGAAACCGCTTCTTGAATAAGAAAAAATTTAAATCAATCAATCAAAAGAAAACACTTACTAAAAAATGAAATATTTTATTTGTTAACCTGCATGTCATCTGATCATTAGCCAATGTCAGAGAACCATGAACATGCAAATGTGATACTTAATTATTAAAATTAATATAATTTATTATTAATCATCAGGGGGACTTCAAGTAAATAAATTAGGTGAAATAGGTTCAGATGACCAAAAAAGTTTGGGAATGCCTGCATTACGTGTAAATAAGAAATAACATGAATTTGTGCATTTTAATGTGTTTGAAAGACAAAAGCCTTGCAAAGACATAGTAATACGTTATGTTCATTAATAGTTGATGGAATGTTGAAGCACTTCTTAAACCTGAAATGATTTTTGTTAATCCAGTGGTCAAATGCTGTGTAGCCACCTGACTAATGATTAGTCTTGGTGTGAATGTCCACAAAACTGTAAGACTTTCTGAATGAATATAAGCGCTATAAGGTAGGCTATTTAAAAGATGAAAAAGAGGAATTAGGGAGAATCAATAAATTATGAGTAATTTATTGCCATTGTGTGAATAAGAAGTAATCATGTAATCAATAAAAAGTAACTGTAGTCTGATTACGAGTAGGCTATTTTAAAATGTAATTTATTCTAATCCAGTAATCCAGATTACATGTAATCAGTTACTACCCAGCTCTGTTAGTTAGTTATTTCTGCATAATCGCTAGACCTAATATTGAAGAACCAATCACTGACAGAAAAGTGTGAATATCAAAAACCCTAATGAAATCGATTATTAACGTTACATCTCCCAAAACAACAGCTGTTTCACATAAAATGTTTCAAGATAAAATTGTCGATTTGCTGTCCTCCTGCCGTGAAAGCAGTTAACGTGACTCGACTAGTCCTAAACTAGTCCTAAAATAAGCCTCGGGTCAGGAGTCATTTCAACAGACAAGTTGTTGAATTTCAAATGCACGGCTGCCATGACAACGCGTTTGTTTTGGATTTGCGCTGTTCGACCAGATTCTGCAGCGCTGCTTTTCCAGTATTTACACACACACAGCGTTTCTGTTTTAAAGTTTCATGTGTTTTAGTGTTTTTAAACAATAACGGATAATACCGTACGTGTCCTTTTAAACTCACTGTATGACTTCATGATGAGTTAAATATAGTCAAACAGGCGTAATGTAACTACACTAAAGTACAGGCATACACAAAGGTGACGACAGCAGCCAATAAGCGGGTAGATTTTATTTATTTATTTATCACAAAAACAACATTAGGCTGCACCGAAACGTAGTTCAACGTTGTAAACGAAAGAACGCACGTTTATAAATGCGACCTGCAGCTAAAAGGCAAATGTCACACGATGACAAAAGGAGAGAATATTTACGATGCTGGATGTTTGGAAAAAAAACATTTTTGAATCAAATGACTCTTTATAACGCATCGCCCGTCTCGTCGTCTACAGGCACAATAAATAAAAGGCGCAATGCATGTGTGGCATTGATTACTCGAGTAGTTTGATACGCTTACCAATGACAAAGGTCAGCAGATCGCGCTGCTTGTTTTTGTTGTTGATCCGTTGACAGTATTTTGAACACGAAGCTCTACCGCAGTTACTTCCTTTTGGAGAATCAGGGTTGTTTTGCTGCCTGCCGCTCCAGTACAGAGGGCGGCAGCATCACATCACAGACTCCAATCACATCTTGTCAAATGACAATTTATTATTCACGAAGTTAGGGCTGGCAGTGTTCATTACGCTGATGGTTTTTTTTATTTATTTAAAAAAGCATGTTTTCACTTTTTATGTAATATGAACCCCTAGTGTTTGTTTGTTTGTTTGTTTTCTTTTCTTTCCTAAACATAGTAAGTATTGTTACAGACACGGTATGTACGTGTCAGTCTTGTGTTTCAAGCTTGTTTTTGTTGTTGATCCGTTGACAGTATTTTGAAGACGAAGCTCTACCGCAGTTACTTCCTTTTGGAGAATCGGTTGTTTTGCTGCCTGCCGCTCCAGTACAGAGGGCGGCAGCATCACATCACAGACTCCAATCACATCTTGTCAAATGACAATTTATTATTCACGAAGTTAGGGCTGGCAGTGTTCATTACGCTGATGGTTTTTTTTATTTATTTAAAAAAGCATGTTTTCACTTTTTATGTAATATGAACCCCTAGTGTTTGTTTGTTTGTTTGTTTTCTTTTCTTTCCTAAACATAGTAAGTATTGTTACAGACACGGTATGTACGTGTCAGTCTTGTGTTTCAAGAAAATGTAATAAAAATAATTTTACAAAAAAAAAAAAAGCATGTTTTACCCTTTTACGAGGAAAAACTTAAATATTCTAAATAAATATTAGGCTACTTAAATATTACATTAACCAATTTTGGTGGTCAAAAGGGAAAAACCTTCATATTATCAATATGCCGAGATGAGAGAAAAACATTGGAGTGTGTAAAGAACAAGAAAACTTCCCTGAATATTTATTCAGTTCATTTTAATTTTGTTTTCTTTATTTGTTTTCATGTTTGTATACCTATCTCTTGCTTCAGTTTCTTTTGCATGTTAGTTTTCAGTGCACAAACAACAAAACAACTCGATAAAAGTAACTGCTGTTTAAAAAGGTCAAATCAAAGTGTTGCATTTAAAGTTAATTGCACTTTTTGAGTTAGTTTAAAATTAATTAGCTCCAAAAACATTGTGTTGCAACTCAGACAACTAATAAAATCATGACAAGTTAAATAGTCTTATTGGTATAATATGTTATACTATTATTATGAAAACGTAAAACATAGTTTGCCTTTATAATAATGTCACAGTTATTCTATAGACTAGTGAGTGGGGGAAATATGTTGAGAACGAATTGTTTATAACAACTGTTGTTTTATAAGCACCGAGTGCTTGTTTTTTATTTATTATCTACGAATATGTGTTATAAATTATTAATGGCAGTTTTATAGTGAGTTCGTGTTTAAATGTTAAACACACAGCAGCAACTTTGAGCTAGAAGCAGATACTGGCTGAATTTGGAATAACATATTATCATACTATCTTCTTCTGTTGTAATGGCAGATATAGTAAGAATAGTACGATACTAGATAGTATATAGATATATATACAGATGCATCTCAATAAATTAGAATGTCGTGGAAAAGTTCATTTATTTCAGTAATTCAACTCAAATTGTGAAACTTGTGTATTAAATAAATTCAATGCACACAGACTGAAGTAGTTTAAGTCTTTGGACCAGAAGTTGGTTTGCCATCCGCCATAAAACGTTACTAGAAGAAGAAGAAGAAGTAGCATAGGAAGAACCCGCGTGGAAAACAGCTCGGTAAAAGTTCCCCAGGTATAGAAAACATAGCTGTGTACATATATATTTCTAAACAAAATTTCAATTTCTTCCCGTCTTAATTCTTTTGATGTGATTTAGAAATCACGAGAATATGCGAGGATGACCTGATTGATATGCGTGCAAGACTATCACGACTCAAGTTGGATTTCGTGTTTGTTGGTGAAAGGCACGTTGTGCTGTGTGGTTTTTTTTTCGTCATGATTTTTGCTTTTTAAAGAACGTTAAATGCAGATGAAATGCAGTCAGATTCGCGTAATGACATAATGGGCCGCGTTAATGGAGAAAAGGTGAAGAAGAAGAGAAAGAAAAGTGAAACTCCAGAGCAGCGTCAACTCGTGAAAGGCACGTTGTGCTGTGTTTTTTTTTTCGTCATGATTTTTGCTTTTTAAAGAATGTTAAATGCAGATGAAATGCAGTCAGATTCGCGTAATGACATAATGGGCCGCGTTAATGGAGAAAAGGTGAAGAAGAAGAGAAAGAAAAGTGAAACTCCAGAGCAGCGTCAACTCACTCAAAGTCCAAAGGTGCAGACTGAGAAGCAACGTGAAAAGGTGAAGAAGAACAAGAAAAAGGAACTGGAGAATATAAGTCTGCAGACACCTACAGACAAAAAGAAAAAAAGAAAACTGAATGAAGGTGTGGAGGTTGTCACAAGCCTGCATAAAGTAAAAGACAAGGCCGCAGAGTCACAAGAGCCGCAGGGTTCAAGAGAACAGAAGCCTGCTAAGAAAAAGAAAAAGAGAGCAGATGTGACACAGGCAGACTGTGATGACATGACACAAGGAGAACAGCCTGTCCTGATGACAGAACATGAGGAAGTCCAACACAAGAAGAAAGATGAGGAAAGTGGCTTACCTGCTGTACTAATTGGTTTAAAGAACGTTAAATGCAGATGAAATGCAGTCAGATTCGCGTAATGACATAATGGGCCGCGTTAATGGAGAAAAGGTGAAGAAGAAGAGAAAGAAAAGTGAAACTCCAGAGCAGCGTCAACTCACTCAAAGTACAAAGGTGCAGACTGAGAAGCAACGTGAAAAGGTGAAGAAAAAGAAGAAGAACAAGAAAAAGGAACTGGAGAATATAAGTCTGCAGACCCCTACAGACAAAAAGAAAAAAAGAAAACTGAATGAAGGTGTGGAGGTTGTCACAAGCCTGCATAAAGTAAAAGACAAGGCCGCAGAGTCACAAGAGCCGCAGGGTTCAAGAGAACAGAAGCCTGCTAAGAAAAAGAAAAAGAGAGCAGATGTGACACAGGCAGACTGTGATGACATGACACAAGGAGAACAGCCTGTCCTGATGACAGAACATGAGGAAGTCCAACACAAGAAGAAAGATGAGGAAAGTGGCTTACCTGCTGTACTAATTGGTACTAGAAAGCGCAAAAGAAAGGGAGCTCTGTTGGATGAACCAGAAGTTGACCCCAATCTCTTGAATGAACTGAAAGAATTTTGTCCTGAAATAGAGTCCAGAAGCTCACATGATATCAATAAAATGATCATGTATGATCTGCCAAGGTTCAAGGAATTCAGAAAGCAAGGTAGGCTGTTTATATCTGCTATTTTTTTTTTATCTTATACTTTTATTATTATTATTATTATTCAGATCAGCGTATATCATTTATTTATACACAAAGATGAATGTTATAAATGTAAAGTGTCCATACAAAATGAATATTTCTTTGCCTTTCACTCTTCACACTGATGTCCACAGGCATCATGTTGAGGCATGGAAGATACTCTAACGCAGAAAATGAGAGGTTAAGACAGAACGTTAGAGATTTCCTTGCTCTCACAGGAGTGAAAGATGCTATCAAGCTCTTTCATCCAAAGCGTTTCCCAGAAGAGACACAGGAATTGACAAAGCTGAAAAAGGTCTACAAGTTTTTTGAAAGGATAGGTGAGTCACAACAATCACATTGGTTTTACTTCATTTGTTGATTTTGTTATTGAAAGGTTTAAGGTCATCATCGTTCTGCACTATTTAAACTTTTTTGTTTTTTTGTACAGAGGTACAATACGAGGCATGCTAGTCCTGCATCCCAGATATGCCTTTTTACACATGTTAATTGTAGGAATAGTCCACCCAAAAATGAAAATTCTCTCATCGTTTACTCACTCTCATAGTCTTTTTTTCTTATGTACGTCTGGGTTGGCATGAGGGTGAGAAAATCATGAGAGTATTTTCATTTTCGGGTTAATGGCGTATAAAGACTTCTTGAACACATCTTGAACATTGTAATAAGCAATTTTTGTTGCTTAATCTGTTGTCATCTTTTTTCAAATCAAATTTGAAAAGCGGAAGGAATTCCCAGGCCTTGCCATAATGTTTTTGGCCGTGGAAGGAAAGTTTTTGATGGTGGAAACTATAAGGGAAGGTAAATGACAGTTTTACAAGGTATTTGGTCTTAGAAAATTGATCTGCTCTGCTTTTTATTTTTGTGCTTTAATAAACCTCAGTGCTTCCTTTTCTCAAAAGGTTTACAAAAGAAGAAGTCAAATCATTGCTTAAGTATCATACACTACATGGCAATAACTGGCAAAAGATTTCTGAGATGACTGGTCGAAGTTCTTACTCTCTTGAGAAACGTTTTACCCAGCTTAATACCGGCAAGTCTAATTCAGCAAGCTTCTTTTCAAAATTTCCAAAATTGTAAATTCCAGGTTTAGTGATGGTTGGTCATTTTGTATCTCATCAATTTGCATCACACAGCTAGAAAAAGTGGGCCGTGGTCCGCAAAAGAGGTGCAGAGACTTTTGAGGGCTGTGCGAGGCCATATTGTAACTGTGCTGAAATCGGAGTCCCCTAATAAAACAACACCAAAAAGAGTCAGTAGAGAAATACTGTACCGAAAATTGCCCTGGTTCAATATTTCTCTGAAGGTTAAAACTCGATGTTGGAGCAAATGCAGAGAGAAATGGTGAGCGAGTCATTGAAAACTCTTTTATATTAAATGGTGATACATTTTTAGTGATTCTCTTTTTTTATTATCCAACATTGTCCCTGAATTTTCTCCTTCACCCCTAAGGATGTCCATCCTCGCTGTGCAGATGTCTTCAGGGACTTGTAGAGGAAGGACATCTCAGGAGGCCAAAATCAGACTCATTAAAGCGTGAGAGATCTTGTTTTTGCATGCTTGCTTAGCTTTTGTTATCCTGACATGTTTTTTTCTGTATGGCTTCTGTCATGTATTCACACAGAATGTATCAAATGCAAGTGGAGGATGTTACGGATGTCAACTGGGATGATCTCACGGCTGTTTTCGGGTGAGGATTATTTGCAGTTTGGGGTGGGCGATGTGGCAAATAATATTATATACAGTATATAATATTATAAGGTTTATAATCTTATCATGATTCTTTTTCATTTAGTTTTTTAAGATCATTTTTCAAGTTACTAAGCAGTACAATCAAACTAACTTCTCTATTTAAAAATATAGGCCTACAAGGAAATAAAACATAAAAGAAAATGGTTAAGAGATCATTTAGGCCAAAGTTATGGTGGGTGATATGACCAAAATCTTATTTAACTTTATTTTATTTAAATATTTTGTCTTTGTTATTAAAAATATGAGCAAAGATGCAAATTACAAATAATAGAACAAATATAAGGAAGATAGAAATTAAATAAACTGCTTCAAAATTTCAGGTATAGTAAGTAAATTTTTACGGCAGCAACCAAATAAGAATTTGAATAATTTTAAAAATAATACGCTGCATAGTCTTCACTATATAAATGATGTATACATTATTAAAGCTACATAAATATTCTTTTGCCAAGAGTGGTGGGCGATTTTCTTTTTCTGTTGTTGTTCGACATTAAATGACATTAAACATTAAATGACACGGGACAGCAGCAGGTTAGCCTGCTGTCACTTGAAGACCTAATGCACAGATCCAATATACTGACACACATCTGATTTTCTCCCAACTGTTCACCTTTACCCAAGACATAACCAACTGTGTTTGTGAACCTTGTGTGTCTTTGACATAACCGTTTGTATTTGGCAGTTGAAGTGCAATAAGATGCGAAAGAGAACTTAGTTCAGTACTCATGTACTGTGACAGCCGGGTTTCTGTGTGCACGCTTCAGAAAAAATATTTCTAAATAGTGTGTGAGTAAAATCAATTGTAATGTCTTTTGTGACGATGAAGACCTGCAATAAGAATGACACTCAAAAAGAAGAATTAAAAAGATACAATTTGCAATGTAGCACGATACTAACAATCTCTCTGAAAAGGCAGATCATGGAGACATTTAAATTGTTCACAACCTAATGTGACTAAATGAATGACTTGCACAACAAACATTATACATTTTGGCTTTGCACAAACTTACAAACACATTGACTATATGTCCAGTTGCCCAAAAAGTATTGTGCCCATGTTTGGCATTATTAATTGAATAAGCAATGCAATATTTATGTTGTGAAAAACCATAAATGATTACAAGGTCTTTTATCTTTGAGATGGATCTTCAGAATTATGTCTGTAGTGTGTTGGAATATAATGTCTTGGCTACATTCAGCTTTTCTTTTTATATATGTAAGTAACTATGATATGACTGATTCAGTGAAACCCCAGATTAATTGGGTAACCTCTGTGTTGTTGAAAGTGTATTTGTTTAACATTGGAGTCTTTTCCAATGATCTGAAAAATCCATAATCTCTAGAGATTACCATGGTGATATTGCTAGATCAAGAATAAAGAATATCCTCTAAGGAGTTAATTAAGTAGTGTAAATGGCATCTGAGCACAATCACACAGGTTGCATTATTCAGGTTCCCAGCAAGTAACTATAACAATGCACCTGCTTGTTCAGGCATGATGCTGCTGGTGGTGTAAACAAGATTGGTGTCACGTCTTTGTCCTCTTTGTCCCATAGGGATGTTCCTCCAGCCTATGTGCAAGCAAAGTGGCACCAGTTTAAAGTTTGCTATGTGCCCGATTGGAAGACCAAGTGTTTTGGGGGTAAGTGTGTTCATTTACTTACAGATTTTAGTTGTAGATCCAGCATTGATTTCTTCTATTTTCCATAATGTACTGCAGAGATGTAAACTGAAGTTGCAAAAAATGGTTTCTTGAGCCTTGTAAACAATTCTAAAGTCTGAAAGGACTTCAGACTTCAGAACATGTTTGGTGTACATTAATGTTTGTTGTATGTCTATGGTGGTTTCTTTCAGACATTGTTGATTTCCTCTATGAGAAGGTCTTGCCAGGGATGGTGAAAGACTGTGAAGACCTTGATGACAGTGAGCTGAAGGTTGACCAGAAGCAGAGCTTCCTTCTATCTGACATTTTTAAAGACATTGAGGAGAGTGGCCAGAAAGAGGATGACAACTCCTCTTGAACTATTACTTGTCAATCAGACCTTAACAATGATTTCTGTAAAAATCACATTAAATATACCACAACTGAAGAGAAAAAGCTGTTGTCAAGATGTACATGTAAAAGATGTATGATAACTTCCTTTTATTCTTGTTATTCTGTTTATTTTTTATCAAGAATTGAATAAACAGGATTTTTATTGTGCCTTCTGAAGGTCTTGTAAACAAGGACATTTTTCTCTTTCACATATGAAGGTAAAACATGAACAAGTGAGGTAAAGAATAGTTGGTCAATCAGGTTGTCAGAAAATGTTAGGTAATATCACAAGTGTTTATAGTCAATTTGAAACATTCGATCAAACAATTACAAACAACCACGTCTCCTCAGCCCTATGAGTCGTCAGATTACATTTCCAAACCAGCCATGGCCCGTTCCAGGGGATTAGAACTCCAGAAGTCATGGTCCCAACCCAGGAACCACCCTGTGAAGGTGGGGGGTTCAAAGCCCTGCTTCACTGTCACAATGGGAGTTCTCTTGTCCCTACTGGCAGGATCCGATTCAATATATTTGGC